TGAAGTGAGCCTTCCTCGACTAAACCGCGTCAGTCCGACATGTGCGAACGCTTTATTTTCTGGGGCGATCATGTGAACGGGCTCTGCGTTAGGGTGGAGCTGACGAACGCATTGGTGGGCTTACAGTCTGCTTGTGGTGCATTATGGGATAGGTCCTTCCTCCCCTTTCCATCTGAGGGATCACATATCAGCCCTATTGGAAAATGGATGCTCGCATTAGCGCTCTTATACACAGTGCATACATGAGGATCATTATCTTGTTGAAAGGTCCACTTCCGGTTCAACTTTCAGACAGATGGCATCGCATTATCTTCAAGTACTCTCTCATGTGATGGAGAATTCATAGCTTGAATCAATCACTGCAAGCTGAGGCGGCGAAGGAACCCCGAATATTTCTACCGCCGTGCTTCACAGATAGTTTTTCTCTTGTAAAGGTTCATCGGCACATTATGCCAGAAGGCCTGCTCTTTACCTCCATGTTCGCTTGTAAACTCGACTTTTGCTCTAATGTTCTTTTTGGACGGCGAAGGCTTTTTTTTCCTGGCACGCCTCCCGCACAGGTTGAATTTGTGCAACCTCTGTGTGAACGTGGATGGAGCGCTTTGACGCCAACAGCTGCAGCAGTTACCTGCAGATCCTGTGATGAAACTCTGGGATTCTTGGAGTTTTTGTTTTTGCATCAAACTGTCTGTGCTGCTGGCTTGAATTTGCTGGAGCAGCCAGTCCCGGACAAGTCGTGGAGAAACTGCACCACTTGTAGATGATGTTATTCACAGTGGAGTGGTTTATTTCAAATAAACTGGACATGTTTTTTTTTTTATTCCCTAGCAAACTTGTAGTCATAAAGGCATTTTTTTCCCTGAATGCCTTAGAGAGCTCTTTAGATGCAGCAACAGCAAAGAGAACCCCAGACCCTGTATGTCAGAGGTTTATATAAGACAGGTTTCACCTTTTACTCCAAAGTGAAGCTCTAATTATTGGCAACACATCTGGAACTAATTTAGAATCCCTGTTTCTAGCTGTATGGATTTGAAGGGGTGATAAATGTAGGGATGTGTTCCAATATCCATCTGACAAACGACTGACCCAATACATAGCATGTCAGGAGGCAGTAGACTACAGTATGTAATCCAGAAGGCTTTTCTGGCCGTTCTGACCCACAATCCATCACGTAGCGGTGTCTCGGTTGAGTATTAACAAGCTGACGGCTCGTTTAGCACCACAGATTCCAGACAAAAGCTTAAAGTGTAGTGTTATGACCAAGTAAGTCCTGATTGTGTGCATTCTGCATGTAACAGTTTTGTAACAGCAGCTGTAGGAAGCAGGATGAAGTGTTGTTCAGAGATGTTGGGATGAACATTTTTCACAATTATATGGTGAAATGTTGCAGCAAAAGTCAAGGAACTGGTGGATTTGTTTGGATTTGCAACACAGGAATCTCTACAAATGTGTCTTGTATGTATCATAAAGGTAGTTTATTGTTTACAGTCCGTATCATCCAGAATCTTTAAACTTAACTGCACTCTTAATCGTTTTTGGAAACTGTATGTGTCTTCATTTGGCAGTTTACATCAGCAAGTGCTCAGGTGTAGCACTTCTAGCAGCCTGCAATCAAGGCATCTCTCTCTCTCTGTGTCTTTATTTCCACTCAGTCTGTCTCCTCCCGTCTCTGCCGGCTGGGCGGCTGACACACTGGAGGATGACAGGTCAGCAGGAATGACTGCAGTATAACTGGAGCTGGGCAGGGCTTTACTCAACAGCCTGTCTGCTCCTCCTCCATATGGTACCATCTCTCTCGCACATTACAACACACACACACACACACACACACACACACACACTCGCCCTCCAACACTCCAGCGCAAGAAGACGAGGGCGTTGCCTGCAGTGCATGACGGTTCGACGGCTGGTCTGTGACCCACGCGCAATGATGTCACTTTATGAAGTGGGGGTTGCGTGATCGTAGCTGTGTAGAAGGGTGAAAAAGCAGAGGGGAGGACTGTGGGAACCATTTGCATCTGGCTGTAAGTGAATTAGACTGGGAGGAGTAGGAGGGGGGGGGGGGGTTGTCTATACCAGACTGTTGAGCTGCAAGATGCTGCTGCTGCTGCTGAGACGACGAGGTCGAGCAGTGGGCAGCCAGCTCCTCTCTGTTCCGTTGAATGACAGGGTTTTAAATCCTCATCAAAAAAAAAAACAAGTGAAGGACAGCCGCGATTTTCACTCCACCAGCCAGCGTGGTCCTGACCCACATAACAGGGAATCTCATTAGTCACCCATTCAGATATTCAACGAGCATCGCAGACAGTTTTTTTTTTTTTTTTTACAGTTTTGTCAAACGCCTTCAGTCAGTCGGCCATGTAGCTACGTTATAGAGCCGGAGACGGTCATCCGAAGTTTATTTGGATTAAAATAGCAAAGATTCACTGGTTCCGACTTGTCAAATGTGAATACAGGCGTCCTCAAATGTATTCATACCCTTCCATTAAAGAAATTCACAATAGTCGCTCAAATAAGTAGAAACTGAAAAAAGTAATAATAAATAAAAATTTGCTAAATTATAATTTAGTGAAATATGACATTGCTTTTGAATTGTGGGTGAAAAGAATAATTTTAAAAAACAAAAGCAAAACTGTCCTGGACGAATGAGAGCACTTTGCTGATGAGCAGTGGGTCAAAATCCAAATAGCTGTCAACAGAAGTCTGATTGAGAGTTACAGAAAACACTTGATTGCAGTGATTGGCTCAAAGGGTTGTTCAACTAAATATTAGTTTAAGGGTCCCATCATACTTTTTTTTATTTATTTTATTTTATTATTATTTCTTTTGAATCACAATTCAAAAGCAATGTCATGATTTTCATTACATTTTTATTTATGATTACTTCAGTCAATTTCAACTTGTTTCAGTGACACCTGTTCTTTTCCTTCTTTAATGGGAGGATGTGAATACATTTGGGACGACTGTATTTTCTGGTCTTCTTTGGAATGGAATAACTTGACTGAATATCAAACTGTGTTGGACATTTTTTAAACATTTCATGACATGTTACAGACAAACATTGTTTCAGGCCTGCAAATAACAATTAATCCCGTTATCAGTTAAACAGATTATTTTTTCTATTAAGTGTTTCATGTGGTCATGACAAATAATACCCATCACAGTATCCTACAGCTCACAGGGAAATCTTCAAATGTCGGTCCAACACCTAGAAAGAAGACAAAGAAGGCAGCAAATCCACACAATTTTCAGGTTAATTCAGGAGTTATTTTCTCTTGACTCTACCTAAACAATTCATCAAAGTAACAGTCTGTCAGCAATCATTTCTAGTTGCTGCCCTACATAACTAGTCATATAATGAAGATATTGATTCTAAACCTCTTTGTTCTACATGAGCGGAGGGCTGAACGGCAGCTTTTTGCTTCTTGAGTCACATCCTGAACGAGCTTTTTTTGTCACATACCAGAAACGATCATGTACACTCCGGTTCGTCATTCAGCCTGTGTTGCATTTAGTCATTTAAAAGCAGCATGAAAGAGGTTTCCTTTTCACACCGAGTATCGTCATTACTCCTCGAAAATATCACATAAATTACTTTTTTTTCCCCACAAATGATCAGCTACACTTTAGAACCGTTTGATGATTCAGCCAGCGTCAGAATTACTTGTGTGTTTTTCGTCAGTTGGGGCCATTTGTGGTCCCACGTGAGCCCGTTTTGACGTGTTGCAAAGTTGACCCGGGTGCGATTCTGCTCCGCTAAACCCGAAGTCTGTCTCTACACATGGCCACACCAGTTAATTGCACATCTAGGAAGTGTCTCCGCAACCTTTTTACCCCGCCAAGAAATCAGCATTTTTTTTTTCTATTTGTCTAATTATTTTGTCAGCTAATTAGCTCAGTTTTCAGTCTGTTTACAAGTGAATTAGTCAGCAAGCAAATGAATGACTTTGTCGGTGGAAATACACACCTGAATTTTCTCAATAGAACTCCCACATTGCAACTCAAACACGAGAAGCTGCAATATGTTTCTGATCCAGACTGTTAACATGCATGTCACCGCACTCGGTTTGGACTGCACACGACTTGTAAAACAAAAGTCAGATCATAATGACTCGACTGCCACAGAGTGTTTTTTTTACTTCTTCTCTGCCTTATGTTCCCTCTCTGTTTCCGAAAACCACCCGTTTGTTCTTCTACACTGGGGTCCACGCTCTCCGAATGTTACACAAGCACTTTAGATCACAAAGCGCTGCGATAAAGATGAGGAGGAGGAGGAAGGGAAGATGGGAGACAATATGAACTATAATGGAGCTGTTAAAGCTTTATGCAATGCTTGAATTCCTACCCACCCTTGAGAAAGTCCATATGCACAACACATTTTCTACACGGACGCACTGCGTATGAATATAGATGGAGTGCTCCAGCAGGGTTCAGTGCCTACATTTGGTTCGAGTGGCCCTGGAAAGGCCTGTAGCTCTACGCTCTAGAGGACGCAAGATAATCTTTACTTTGTTCTCAGAGCTGGTTTAGCTGTCTGCTAACTGTTTTCTGCTTCCCACAGGTCATTTTCCTTTCGGTGCTTTTAATGTGGCGGGAAACAGGCCACACAATACTTGATTGTGTCATCTTCCAGCCTGTAGGATCGTTACTTCATTCATTAAGGAATGAATGAGCGTTTCTTTCTGTTTATTAGCATTCCTTTGCTGCTGGCGCATCCGTTTTTGCTCAAGTCTTGACAAGCTGGCACATCGACTTGTGACAGTGATGTCGTCGTCAATGAGATGATTGTCGAAGCCGATGACTAAGGATGTGTTTGCTGTCACAAGACTCAATAATTTAGTGGGTTTTTTTTTGCGAGGCCCATGTTGCGGCTATGACCCAGTAAGACTCAAAATAAAGCGTCTGTCCAATGGAAGACAATTTAAATATCCACAAACTCCATTTAAGAAACACGTCTGAAGCCTCCATGTAATGTGTCTTTTGTGTTTTGTCTCCTACAGAACCGCGAGCTGCAGATCATGAGGAAGTTGGACCACTGCAACATCGTCCGCCTGCGTTACTTCTTCTACTCCAGCGGAGACAAGGTCAGTCGGCTGCTTCGTACTCTTCACCCGCTGGCTTGTTTGAAAAAGAAACTTTGATCGATGAGGCCGAGACAGAACAAGGAAAAGGTTATAAGTCCTGATTTAAACGCGAATATAAAATGTGACTTTGGAGTGTCTTTTATCAATGCAGCTATAAACAGACAACAGATTCATGACGCCTGGTGCTGTATGCAGTAACTTAGCCACAGGTCTTAACTGGACTGATGCAGATCCAGTGTTTTGGGAAAGTCTGTAATACCCCTTTTCCACTGAGCTGGTTCCAGTGCTAGTTTGGAGCCTGACTTAGCACCAGTTCTTTGTGCTTCCACCACCTAAGCAGTGGCTCTAGGTTCTCAAGTCTGGTGCTTCGCAAACACCAACTCAAGAACGGAGTACGTCAGGGGCTGGGGGCGGGGTTATCGTGACCAACGAAACCGGTGGAAACACAGAATGGGACACACAAGCAGTGATTTGTGTTGTTGTTCGCCAGGACGTCTCTGGTCTGATCGCAGATGTATTGAAGTTTTACACAAATTGTTGTGCGCTGAAATCCGGTATAACTGTGTCACACCAGCAGCACCATAGTGGTGGAAAACAGTACTTTTTTAACTTCAGTGTGCTGCGGTATTTACGCTTAGAAATGTGGTCTTTTCATTAAAAAAAATGGAGCATAAGGAGTCGAGTTAGAGCCACGCCATACGTCGCTGCATACGTAGCTGTTTACCGAACAACGCTCGCATCGTTTTTTACCGGTGCAACCAACTTTCAGGGAACATTGGTAAATTATAGTATACCACAAAGGAAATGTTCAGCAGCTCATATGTTTTGCCTGTGACAAGGTGGGAAGTGTGACCAAATGAGAAAGTTGATTACACTGGTAAAAAAAAAAAAAAAAAGTTAGTTTGGAGTCCTGTGTGGACTTCCGTATGGCATGAGTGTTGTTCGATAAACGGCTACCAATGGCGTGGCTCTAATTCGGCTCCTTGCCAAAGGAAAAGCAAACAGGTTCTCAGGAGGTGCCAGATTTGAACCAATTAAGCACTGGCTCTAGCACCAGCAGCACCTGGTTCTTCTTGGTAGAAAAGGACTATAAAAGAAGTCATGTTAGCAACACGTAGCCACAAGGACATGCCGACTGTGGTGATGAGGTAACTGTAGTGAAGTGTCTACAAACGTTTCAGTGGCGCATCTATCCATTTGTTATGTATCATGTTCACAAAAAAAAAAAAGGAAATGAAGGCCTGGTTCATGCAACGTTACCACAGCGTCCTTCTACACCAGGGGTGTCGAACTCCAGTCCTCGAGGGCCGCAATCCTGCATGTTTCAGATGTTTCCCTCTTCCAACACACCTGATTCAAATGATCAGGATCGTTATCAGGCTTCTGCAGAGCTTGATGATGAGCTGATCATTTGAATAAACATCTGAAACATGCAGGATTGCGGCCCTCGAGGACCGCAGTTCGACACCCCTGTTCTACACCTTTCGCTCACCACTGCACCGTCGGTCTGGACAGTGAAGGTCACCAAGTTAGAATCAAGACACTTAGTCTAAAACTAGACGTCTCCAGACTAAAGCCTAATTATTAAATGAATAATAAGAACAAATACTTGAATTCGACTGGCAAGTTTCTGATCGTGGGGCAGCAAATATGTCCAAGAGGAGGAGACACAATACATCAAGAAATGCTTCTTTTATCATTTAAAATGTCAATTCATGGATTCCACTTTAATATTGTTGGATAATCGGGCCACACCTGTGAAGAAAATCAGAATTAAATCAGATTTTAACCTGTTGAGCCTCACTACAGTGTTACATCTCAAGTACGTCTCCTCCTGCTGGCATTATTTTTGATTTAACTGATTGTTTTCTGTAAACTTGGCGTATTTCTCTCCTTGCTCTGATTGTGACGACTTGAAAAACGATTCTTTTAAGAACAATTTTTCATCTTCAAGAGCACTTTAAGGTCCACTGGACTCTGTGTTTTTAAACGGCTTCAATCAGAGCAGTGAAATAACTTTGCAGTCAATCTCTTGTTGTCCCTGGGAATTAGTTTTTCCTCTTTGAGTTTTTCTTTTTTGGTATTTTCCGTATTGCCTCTCGCGCCGTCTCTGCCTGTCAGAAGCGTCGTCTCTGGTCGTACGTCTGCCTCCAGGCCCTGTTATTCCTAATAAATATAATGGTACACGGAGGCGGCCGTGACAGGGAAGTCCCCTCTCTGCCCCGCTGTCCGTCTCAGTCGACCGTCGGAGGTCCCCTGGAGACTACAAGGCTGGAATATGTCATTCAGCGAGCTGACAAACAGGCAGAGGCCTGCGTGTCAAATATAGACACACATGGACTTGGCACACATGCTGTCGGGACTATACCCATGACGCTGCAGTTTGGAATGCTCCCCTGTTGCGCACCTACCGAGGCCAAGAGAGCCGTTGAGGATTATATGGGAGGGCCGACCGGGAGGGTGGGAGGGAGGGGAGGACTGGAAAGATGGTCAAGGGGCATCTATTTGCCCGACTAGAGGGTGTCGGCTAATTATAGATTTACTCGAGCCCTCCCCTTCCTGTTGGAAGCTCCGCCCCCTTATTCCCCACCCCTCGCCTGGTGCCATGTGCCCGTTGACCTCTGGGAGTCACGGCTAATTCTTGGTATACTGACACACTGGCAGGTGCAAAGAAAAAAAAAAAGAAAGAAAAAGACGCTTCCTAACTTGACTTTGCGCTGCTTTTTTTTTCTTTTTTCTTTTTGATTATGTTCTTTCACCTTTGCACCGTTTTAAATCCCCCACTACTGTGCTCCCTTTCATGTATCCATGCCTCCTCCCTCCTCCTTCCTCCCCCCCTCGCTCTATCACTCAGCTAATTATGGAGACTGGCACCATGTTGTTGGTATGGGGATTTACCACCGACACAGAGAGGAGGTGGAGGCTGAGTGAAGTAGGCAAAAGGTAATGTCAGGGGTTAGTGGGCGGATGGAGAGTTTCCGACAGGTTGGTGGATGGTTGGCAGATGTTCAGAATGAAAAGAGAAATAAATGAATAAGAGGCCGAAACAGAGATAATGTAGGTGTCCTGAAACGAGGGCTCCAGCCGGCTGCAGATGTGAGACGGGCTGTTGCTACTCCGTTTGCCAGCATGTGCACAGGTAGTCTTATGTAAGCGCTGGCATGTGGCGTGCCTGATGCACACAGTGTGCTTTTGCTTTTACCCTTTCACCACTTGTATAATAGCGTGTTTAAACAGAAGGCCACTGGTCCAAACAGCGTAGGCAGGTAAGCAAATAGTCACTTGACTTTTACCTCTTCAAAACAAGTAGTAAAGGTAAGATGCTGCCTCTCAAAATCGCATCCATTAGGGGAGGGGGGGACAAAATGCACACAGTTGCTTCCAGTAGCCTGTGTTGATTCTCTGATGTATGCATTGTGGCAGTCGGTTAAAGCTGCTGCTGTTATTTCAAATTTTGGTGCTTGTTACAAATGTGAGTCACAGAATTTACCAACCAGTGGGAACATGGTGACGGATCAATAATGAACCTGGTCGTCTAAATAATAATAAATAGTCTCCAAAACGTTACACGACAAACTAGATTTGTACAAACAGGTAGTGTGAGAATACAGCTATAGTCGTTACTGTTGAACTGTAGTGTCATATATCATAATCGAATAATGTGCAGATACATAACACCAAGCTGGAGATTTGAGGCCCCGTAGGTTCACTCGCCCACTTTACCTGCTTGTAAATTAGTGGTGATGGAACGGTCTGCTGGTTTTCTGTGCTGATGATTCCTAATGAACATCTTATCTTAAAGGCCTCTCAAGAATAAGCTCAGTCAGTCATGAGGGCAAAAAATACTTTCACCTTCTGCTGATGTCCTTTCTCACTATTTATATGTAGACTTTTGCCTCTTTTATACAAAAATATTAAAAAATTATGATAAATACTGCCTATAAGAAGAACCCTATTTATGTGCTGGCTTTTTTTGTTTACACTGAACCAAACAAATCTGGTTCGAGTGTGTGATTTTTTTTTTTTAAAAAAAAGGAATGTTAAGACACTTAAAAAAAAAAAAAAAAAGTTACAATTTTTTTTAATTGGAGGTTTTTTGCGCAATTAATAAAATTATAGAATAAAAGTATACATTTACACATTGACTGTAAAAAAAAACAAGACAAAACAACACTGACCAAAAGAAAAACTGTTCATAGTGTCTACATTGACGGTTTGTATTTTTACGTGGTCATTCATCCTTGTTTGACTGTAAAATATTTTTTTTTAAAAAAACTATATTTATTAATTAAAAATATTGGTCTCTTACAGATACTGAAAAGAAACATATTGAAAAATTGTAAATCATCTTTCACTGTTATTTTTTTATTTTTCTACAGATTTTTTTTGGATTTTGGTAAATTATTAAGACATAATATTGAAGAAAATCACTGGAAAAAAAAGCATTTGCTGTTATTTTCCCTTTTTTAATTTTGTTTTTTCTTAACCTATTTTCTTTTCTGGCATCCTTGCTGCTAGATTTAATTTTTTTTTATATTGAATCTTTCGTCCAGTGCAGGCTTTATAAAAAGGAGCTAATGTGTCATCCTAAATCTGTAGTTATTTAAGATTCTGGTGCACATTCGGAAACAAATGTGTTTACTCCAAGAAGTAAAAACAAACTGATTCACTGGGAACCTGAATCATTACAGCAGCTTGTTGGTGCACTTGATATACAGAGCATTTAAATATGACTGGGTATGAATATAAAACGCAGGCAGAGCAGGGGGATCAGGGGCCCGCTGGTCATTTCTGCCGCTGGGCTTCCTAGCGGTTTAATCCGGATGCGACCATCCCGGTGCCATCAGGCAGCCTGAATCGTTGAACCCTACATACAAGAAATGTATTCCAAACACACTGGCGGATGCTAATAGACAGTCTGTGGCTGAGCAGCGCTGCTTCCGGGTAGTGACTCAGGTCCAGCGAGTTGGTCGAGCTGCCACATTATTTTGCAGGAATCTGGCTGTGTCCCCTGCACATATTTCCAGGCCTGCTCTTGGATGCATGGTGCCATGTTGCAAGCGTCCTCATTAGTGTGTGTCAAAATAAGGATTCGTTCACCGTATGTCCCTCCAGCGCAAACTCATTAACGCCGACTAAATTTCTCAAATCATATGGATCGGAGAGAGATGCTTCCTAAGTGTCGACTTACGTAATGTGTCAGGTGTGATTGCAGCAAGAGGTGCAAGATCAGGAAGCACAAACATACGCCAACAGAGGCTACGCTTGTGGAAACCCACATGTGTGTTACATGCTCTCCAGTCTTTTTGCACAGCATTTGCATGGCATTTTGTGTTGCCAGTTGTTCAGGTGCATGCGTTTTTCTCACCAAATTAGAGGCTGAATTATTTAGCTGGGAGTGAACAAGGAGCCAATCAGAGCTCCGCCTGGCTAACCTTCTGGGAACAAGCCAAGGAAGTGGCTTTGTAGTGAGGCAGGAAGTGAGTCATCGCTGTTGCTAGGCTAAATATAGCTTTGGTGGCGCTAGCAGGAGGCGGAACAGCCTCTCCAGCCGTCACAAATGTTATCAATGGGAGTTTTTGCTGCTGAAAGGGAAATTACTGCACACGCTAATGGAGAGGAGAGGAGAGAGAGAGACGCGCAGAAAGAGTGCTGAGGAGTGAAAGTGATGCCAGCGACAGATTAGAATGCAAAACGAAGCTATCCAGTGCCAATGTGCTGTTTGGGGAAATGCTGCTCATCGTCACCACTGTAGGCAACCCTGTGTGTGTGTGTGTGTGTGTGTGTGCCTCCCAGTCTTCTCCTGATTTCACTCCCTCACCCTATATATGTGTAATTATCTGAGCGGGAGAGAGCAGTCACCGCAAAGCAGGACATTGAGCTGACAGAAGTGTACCGTACAGTCTGTCTGGGAGCTTTTCACAGGGCCCCGGCTTCACTGATTGTGCTTTGCAGACCTGCGGGGAGCCAGCGCCTAAGCTGCATGTCGAGCAGACTGGTAACACTGCTAACAGATGGGGGGGGGGAGAGAGGAGGCAAAAGGATACGGAAAGTCAATTCCACATCAGATAGAAGGAGAAGCAAGATGTAATTGATTTAGTGGAATTTGGAAGGCCTCCTTTACTACCTGAGGCCTGATGTCTCACAGCTGTGTTCGGTGGTTGGACACTGGTCAGCTGTAGGAGTCAGAGACGCAGTTAGACGGAGCAGAAAGAGCTGTTATCTCAAAGATGTAGTGACCATAAAACACATTATGACACTGATATGCTTTCTGCAAATTAGCACTCCTGGTTATGAGTGTGGTGATGCAAAAGGAGCCGGATTTTCCACTGGGTCATAGTTAACCCTTAAGCTGGTGATGGTGGATATATTTGGCATGTACAGAAGCAGTTTGTCACAGGATTACAAGCCCCTAAACACTGCGTATACACTCAGATTTATTCAAACCCTTCAATTAAAGAAGGAAAAAAAAGAACTGAAATAAGTTGAAATTGAAGAAAAAATTAAGTAAATAAAAAATTAATGAAAATCTTGACATTGCTTTTGAATTGTGGTTCAACAGAAATATTAAAGAAAGCAAATAAATAAATAAAAATAAGCATGATGGGACCTGTAAACTAATATTTTATTGAACAACCCTTTGAGCCAATCACTGCAATCAAGTGTTTTCTGTAACTCTCAATCAGACTTCTTCTGTTTTTTTTTTAAATTATTCTTTTCAACCACAATTCAAAAGCAATGTCTTATTTCACTAAGTTATAATTTAGCAAATTTTTATTTATTATTACTTTTTTCCGTTTCTAGTTATTTGAGTGACTGTTGTGAATTTTGCCTTTTCTTTAATGGAAGTACTGTACTGTCGACTGTACTGAAATCTCCTGAAATGCCACAGCTGCAGGTGAGCTTTAATACTGTATCATCTTGGCAGTCAGTGAAAGAAGCATCATCAGTTAATTACAGGTAAATGAATCGTTTACAGTTTAAAACCTCAAAAGAGAACGCTGGCAATAGTCTACGTTTTATTTTCTCTGAGCAAATCCTATAAAAAAAACAAAAAACCCAACAATGAATTGATCCCACTAACAAGCATTCTCCAGAGCCAGATATAGCTCATCCCTCTCCTCCATATGCTTGAGTCGCTTTCCAGCAACTATTTAAAACACATCAGTGAGCCGCATTGTTGCACTGGTTGACATGTTCTCTCATTACCACAACCGTGGCCGGTGTCGTTTATTTTGGGACGGTCCCACATCACCATTCTGATGCCATAAATACTGACTGGAGTACCAAATGTGTATCGATGCCGTGATGGAAATAGTCCCCCCCCCCCCTGCACAAATCCACTGTTTATTCCAGTTTGAGTAATGGTGACAGTGTGCAGCTTTCCTAGAAAGTTACGAAGCATTTTTTTCCTAGAAGCCAGGTTTATGTGAGTAAACGTCTTCAGGAGGACCAATGATGATGATTTTGGGCTTTTAAAGAAATATTTTTAGGAGTGAAATATAAGAAAAAATATAAAATAATGATGCCAGATTTGTCTTTATTACGCTTCACTAGACTCCACTAATCACAGGTTCAGCCTTTCCACTAATAGCTGATTTATTCATCCCATCGCCCAACCCCTTAACCAGGCCAAAGTGTTCCACGCAGCGAGCTCCGTTCCTCCTAACACGGCATCAGGGACAAGCGGACTAGCTGTGAATGCATGAATGAGTTTGTGACTAATCTCCTTTGTGACTCTATAAGGTGCTTTGTATCTAAAAATATATCTTAACTCTTGCGTTTGCCCGTGATTTTCAGCGGTGATTTATTAGTCTCGAAACAATAGTCTCGCTAAAGAAACCGTGATGGTTTTAGTCTCGGCCAGCTGTGGCCAGAATCAAAGGGAAAAAGGAAGTCCTAGAATAATTGGGTGGAGAACCCTCGCGTCCAAGCATCCTTTCAGGGTCAGCGTGCTCCGGAGCAGAACGTGAACCGCCCCGCCCTCCCGACACCGGCCCCGTCCAACCAGGAAGCCAGGAAATGATGTCACTGTCTGCGGCCACCGTTTAAGCACAGGCCGTCATGACGCATTGGATGTGTGCTTCCTGCCCTCGGGGGGAGACACAATGGATCCCCAGTTAGAGTATGAAAAAAAAACCATCAGTTACATCAGCCCCGAAAACAGCTTCTTTTATCAGGAGAAGATGCCTCACCGCTAAGAAGCTGGAAAGTGATCATTTGGCAGCTGAATGGGATTTCATTTTTGTTCGATTTTTCTTGTCTTGCTTCATATTGCATTTCTGGTTTATATATGTGTTCTCATGTTTGACCTCTTTGTTTTTTTCTTGTTCTCTCTCCAACAGAAAGATGAAGTGTATTTGAATCTGGTTCTGGACTACGTTCCCGAGACGGTCTACAGAGTGGCCAGACACTACAGCCGAGCCAAACAGACTCTGCCCATGGTTTATGTCAAGGTATATAATATGTGTGTGTGTGTGTGTGTGTGTGTGTGTGTGTGTGTGTGTCCAGAATAGTCAAGGCGAGAAGCGTTCATTTAATTACCTCGTGTTAATTAAGACTGGGAAAAGACACTCTTAAACATCCTATAGAGTGTCCTATATATCTTTCTTGAATCATATAAACTGTCTCCGTAGAATCCTGTGACAGTGTCTTCACACTGACAGCACTGAGGTTTTTTCTGTTTGTTGCCTGTCAAAGCATTTCTTGTCCAACGTACACACTGATTAGACCAAAGCATGTCATTTGGGTGTCATGGTGCAGCCTACATTTTTAATTACTTGACCATACTTGTCTGCTCTGGATAAAGCAGCTCAGCCCAGTTCAGCAAAAAAAAAAAAAAAAAGAAGTCCCTGAAATTCTGTGAAGTGACTGCTGGTAACAAATGAGTCATTACAGGCCGAGGAGCACATCATTTTTTTGTTTCTCACCAAAGATTGAGCTAATTTGCATAAATAAACAGATTTTGATGAAATGTCACAATTTTAAGCTTAGATTTGGTTTAGATTAGATTCCTTTATTGTCATTGTCTACAGGGAGCATAAACAACGAGATCATGGAAACGGGAATACAATACATACAGACGATAAAATAAACAGTAAAGACACAGTAAAAATAAAACCTATGCCCCATATATATAAGTGCAGAGTGTAGTGAATATTGAAGTTATTGCACAAATTTGAAAATTGCACATCACTGGTTCTTGCACATTTGATGATGATTGCACATTTGAAGTGTGCATCACAGATGAGTAATTAAAGGTTCATCTCAAAGCTGAAAGTCCAAAGATTCGTCCTGTTTTTTTAGTTTTTGGGTGTCATGAATGAAATAATTTCAGCATTTTTTTTCGTAAAAATAAAGGTATATAATTCCTTACAATTCATGCAGGAGTTTGGAATGGGGCTGCAAGGTGGCTCAGTGGTTAGCATCGTTGCCTCGCAGCAAGAAGGTTGTCAGTTCTTGTCCTGGTGAGGACACCCGGGATCTTTCTGTGTGGAGTTTGCATGTCCTCTCCGGATTCTTGGGCTTCCTCCCACACAGACCAAAAACATGTTGAGGTTAATTGGTGATTTTAAATTGTCCGTAGGTGTGAATGTGAGTGTGCTTGGTTGTCTGTCTCTAAGTGTGGCCCTGTGATAGACTGGTGACCTGTCCAGGGTGTCCCCAGCCTTCACCCTAAGTCAGCTGGGATAGACTCCAGCCCCCTGAGACCCTAGTGAGGATTAAGCGGTCTATAGATAATGGATAGATGTACGGAGTTTAGAATGTGAGATTTTGGATAGCTGTTATTTTGGATCTTTATTTGAAAACCAAATAAGTAAATAAATAATTGTAGGTACTTAATAAATGATCCTCTTTCCCGGAGTGTATTCAAAGTTACATTTAGGATAGTTTCATTGAATTTACCGCCCTAAACTCTGTACATGACACACATCAATCTATTTTTGTATGACGCATGAAGCGTGTGATAAATTTTTGTTTTTTTTAAGATCTAAATCTGCTTTTTCTTTCCCAGTTTTTCACTTAAACGTCATTACCTTTGTGTATCTTGTGTTAAACAACATTGTTCACNCTTTGTGTATCTTGTGTTAAACAACATTGTTCACATAACAAAACCATAACGTGAACAACAAAAAATGCAAGAACAGAACTGCATTTATCACATATTTGCACTTTTTCACTCTGTGTAAAACGTTCCTGCTGTGCTTGTTTGTGCACGGATAAGACTTTTAAGGCATTTTGTCTGGCTGTCACAGATGTGTGACACAAATGTGAGAAGAACCCACGAAGGCAAAAAGCATCGTTGCACACCTTCAGTCTTTCCTCTGTCTGTGAAAGAATAATAAACACCTACACTTAATGAGCCTCACCGGACAGAAGAAACACTCAGTTACCTGCCCAGCACAATATGAATATTCATTTATTAAGAAATGAGAGGTTGAAAGAGCACAAATATAATGACTAAGATTGAGATTGCGAGTTTTAAAGAATAAATTAAGGATTATTTTGAAGTCTTAAAAGTTTAAAAAACACATAAATGTAAACGTGTATTTCACGCAGAACCAAATGTTCCATTTTTGTGTGCAGCGTCCACCATAATCGTGAGTTTCTGATAGAACGAGAGGACGAGGTTGTGCAGCTGCAGAAACATGTTCTATTTTATCTTTACAAGGCCTGGTTAACAAGCTTCACCGTCGTCTAAACATCTGCTGATAAAACGTTGTGCACTTGACCGGACCGAAATAGATTCTTAAGTGGTTGTTTCTAGACTTAACTCTGCAATGAAAACTGAGCTTTCTGTAACTGCCTTAACCTTTGTGTGTGTGTGTGTGTGTGTTTCCCTCTGCAGTTGTACATGTACCAGCTGTTCAGGAGCCTGGCGTACATCCATTCGTTCGGTATCTGCCATCGGGACATCAAACCCCAGAATCTGCTGCTGGACCCGGAGACGGCCGTGCTCAAGCTCTGCGACTTTGGCAGGTTAGATAAACTTCTGTGTTTTACAGTGGTCTGCTTTATCCTGGAACCTAAAGGAATAGTTTGACATTCCAAAAAATATGCTTATTTGCTTTATTTCCCAGAGTTAGATTGATACCGCCGTCATGTCTGAGCAGTAAAGCAGAATCTGGCACCAGAGCTTCGCGTAGCTTTGCCAGGAAACCGGTAGCTTGGCTCTAGGAATAAGAAAAAAAAGCAATAAAATCTGTCTACATGCACCTGCAAATCTCACTAATCAACATGTACGTCTTATTCCTTGTCTCTGCTGGTTACTTGGCAAACTTAAGTTACTGTGCCGTGCCAGGAAATGGCCCAACATACATCCTCATGTACTACGGCTATATGTTAAGTATGTTTGGAAGGAAATGAGATGTCGTGGACGAGGCACTCAAAGCAAAAAAGACAGCTTTAGAGTTTACAAAAGATAAATTTATTTTCTCCAGCAAAAAATAGATTGTACAAAATAAAAAAAAAACAAAACTGAAAGTACTGTAGTCCCAGTTGTAGGGCCCTTTAATCCGTTGAACACTACAGCCCGCGAGACCGGTCTGCTACTTTCACCCCGTCTACCCTGCAGACCAGTATAGCGGCTCTGGTATATGGCGATTCCTGTTACGTTCATTTTGATTGTCTATCAGTGGGAATCCCCCGTATGTGAACAAGAGATTCAGTCATGAAATAATTATGCAAATAGTTATAATAGTCATAATTGCATACAGGGGGGCGCCGCTAGGCAAAAAGGCCAAGAAAAATAACTTATAAAAAATAAAAAAGTTTGTATAATTGCATACAGGGTTCTCACCAGCGTCATAACAGAGTAACGACCCGTTACGCTGCGGCCTGAAAAAATTATGCTGCAAATTGGGCAAATACAAAGTTACTTAGTGTTGAAAGGGTTAAAAGAAGTCAACAAAATAAAACTCTTCTGAAAAATAAGGCTGACAAAACTGGACATTAGCTCAACTAACAGACCTGCCAGACTGAGGGCAACATATATACTGGATGATCAGACCAAATTTAACGCATGGGGGGAAACTATATAGGCAACAACGAAAACTAATACAAAGAAACCCAAATCCCCCCCCATGATGTCAGAGCTATTGGTCTGGTCTGTGAGAGGGCCTTCAGAATAAAGCCATGCTCCGCCCTCAGCCCTGTGTCCAACCAGGAAGTGCCACGCAGGAGCCAGATAACTCAAAGAAAAGAGAAATGAATTAATAGCAAAATGACAAACAATGTAGACTAAACGTGTGCCCTCCATCTAGAAAACAGTGTTGTCAAAATGTTCATAAACCAGTTTTTAATGTGTGTGTATGTCATTTAAGTGACTGTAACTTAAAGTGGTGATGGTGTTTGTCAGTGTGTGGATCCGTCCCTCCTGTATGGGCACGGCCATCACATGAGACTAGCTGTTTTTAACGCTGTAGCTTCATCTGGCTTGGTAGTTACTATACGAAAACTCTTCTCATTATCAACCCTCAATCAGCTTATTTCTCAAAAAGTCAAACTACTGATTTAAAGAGTTTATACGCTGAGATTCTACAAAGCGTTTATATCACCACAGACCTATAAAACAGGTTAAGCTGAGGGAGGACTGATTTAATTTTTCATGAAACGAGTTTGAATTTAGCCACGATGTGAAGCTCCTCTCCAGTTTGGCAGTAAATCTCATACTGTTACACACTGTCATTTGCAATAAGTAGGCAGTAGTGTAATATTTCAGCCTGTGCTTAAATCCTGATCACAGACTGTTTCTTCGGGTTAATATTTCCAGAGTGGAGATTGTGATAATGATGATTATATGCTTTGATTTTTTTTTTTTTGTGCGCAGTGCTAAGCAGCTGGTCCGCGGAGAGCCCAACGTGTCCTACATCTGCTCTCGCTACTACCGAGCCCCTGAGCTCATCTTTGGTGCCACTGACTACACTTCCAGCATAGGTAGGCTGACTCCAGCTGTCACCGTCCACATTTAACCCCAGAGCTACTCGCTAAGCTTTGCCTCAGCCTCAAATCATGTCGTTACTCATGATTTCTACAGCCGTCTTCAAATGTATTCATATCCTCATTGCTTTTGAATTTTGGTTTAAAATAATTGTTTTTTAAAAAAGGGAAAAACAAGCATGATGGGACCCACTAACTAATATTTTGTTGAACAACCCTTTGAGCCAATCACTGCAATCAAGTGTTTTCTGTAACTCTCAATCAGACTTCTGTTGTTTTGATTTTGGTCCACTGCTCATCAGCAAAGTGCTCTCATTTGCCCGGGACAGTTTTTTTTATTTATTTTTAATTATTCTTTTCACCCACAATTCAAAAGCAATGTCTTATTTCACTAAATCCTAATTTAGCACATTTTTATTTATTAGTACTTTTTTCAGTTTCTAGTTATTTGAGTGACTATTGTGAATTTTGCCTTTTCTTTATTGGAAGGGTATGAATAAATCTGAGGACGACAGTAGACAGACATATAGTGACAACAGAATATTGTGAGATTTTCTGTGTTACTTGCTGCCTTATGGTCATGCCTGCTCCTCTGTGTCTAAATGTGACTTCTTTTTCTTTTTTGGTGACCTGCCTTTTCCTTTTAGATGTGTGGTCAGCCGGCTGCGTACTGGCAGAGCTGTTGCTAGGACAACCAATCTTCCCTGGTGACAGTGGAGTGGATCAGTTGGTTGAAATTATCAAGGTAAGGCTGACCCACATGGTGTGAAATTATCAGGCACGCTATTAAGAATGGGCTGCAAGGTGGAGCAGTGGTTAGCACTGTTGCTTCGCAGCAAGAAGGTTGCCGGTTTGTGTCCTGGTGAGGACACCCGGGATCTTTCTGCGTGGAGTTTGCATGTTCTCCCCGTGTAGCGTGGGCTTTCTCCAGCTTCCGCCCACACAGTCCAAGAACATGTTGAGGTTAACTGGTGATTCTAAATTGTCAGCTGGGATAGACTCCAGCCCCCCCGCGACCTTAGTGAGGATTAAGCTGTGTATAGATAATGCATGGACTAGAGTTTTTTTTTTCTTTGCGAGTAAATTCAAGTCCAAAACACTTCACTGCTGCTCGACTTAATGAGCTCACCTTGTCGTTCCAGGTTCTCGGCACCCCGACCCGAGAGCAGATCCGTGAGATGAACCCCAACTACACCGAGTTCAAATTTCCCCAGATCAAGGCACATCCTTGGACTAAGGTGAGTCAACAGGTACAGGAGCCCTTTTACTACTCTAAGATCCACCGCTTCCGCATCTCGCCATTGTTGCTTTGTGCCTGCTTGCCGCTCCACAGCCATCTAACCTCATCATCTCCATCCAACAGGGCAGCATGTGGAACCTAAAAGCTCCACATTTTCTCCGAGCGTTCACACTGTGAGGAGAAAAACTGATGCGATGAAATGATATTCACTTTCCATCGAAATCTTTAGTCTTTCTATTGCATATTAAGCAATTTAAGCTTAACATAACACTGTATGAGGCGTGTTTATTCATGCAATATGGCTGCTTCTTAGTCTTGTCTAATGACTTATTGCTCCTTTTTTGGAGATCTTTAGGAATTCGAAGACAGCACCTGTCAAATTTACAGTACAAAAAGGGGTTTTCCTCCTTTGTTCATCACAATTTGATGTAAAACATTTTTAATTATTAACAGTAGCAGAATGGGTGAAAGGTTTTAACATTTTTGAGTAAAGTTTAACCCTTTATAGGGCACTCATTGAAATATTTGGAAATTTAAATTTTCACCCCTGGAGCGTTATTAGTGGATGCAAGATTTTTTTTTCCCTTTTTGACTTTTTATAAAACTTTTAGATTTTGACTAGAAATCAAAATCAAAGCAGCTACCGTATACGATTCCTTGCCCACCCAGGGTAATAAAAAATAAATAGAAATCCAGATAATATATGTATGAATTATTGGAAAAATACACATAAATATAAAAGAACATTTATTTCCAAATCACCAAGTCAGACTTATGGAGCTTTTCACATTTGTGTCTAAAGATCACTGATCACTCGTGATTGGTCAGAGACCGTAGTGACTGTGTTGTGATGTAGCCTGACCCTCGTTGATTGGCTGGATGAAGTCACATGATTCTGTTTCTTGACATTTTTAACCCTATACAGGACTTTTGGGGTCTTTTGGTCCCCAGGCCATTTGGTTTAGGTGACAGGTGTTGTTTTTTTTATTTTTGAAGATTGTTTTTTAAATATAAAAAGAGGGACATTTTTCATGCATGTGGAACCAAAATACGTCAACTTATCAGGAAATGTATTTAACATAGTGTAAAAGTCTATAATGAAGACCAACAAATATTTTGCACAGATTCTTTCTTGTGGTAAAAGATCTTCTACGTATGGCAACGTGAAAGTCCTGAATAGAGTTAAACCCTACGGAAGTTACCATAATCGGTTCCTTGCCCGATAAAGGGTTAACGCAGAAATGTGATCAGGAACACTTTGAAAAAGCTGTTAAACACGTCCCATCTCAGCTGCAGCTCAGTGTTTTGAACCACAACAGCTAAAGTGACCAGAAATGCCGCTTTGTTCAATCATCGCTCTGTTATCGGCTCCAGATGTCAGCCTGAAATGTCATCCTGCTACGTTATGTCTCCGCTTCATGCCCTCATTTGGACGCTTGTTGTCAGTTACATCTGCCATAAAAAAGGTGGGAAAATATAAAAAGGGACAGTCTCCCTTCAGCAGCCCCACACTAAGCTCTTCAATTGAAAAATACAGTCATCCAATCAGCAGGCCGTCCTGTTCCCCCTCAGAGGCGCCTCGCTGTGGCCGCTCTCTGCCACTGCGTTTAGTTTACAACCGCTGCTGCAATCAGATGCATTCATTGATTCATTTGTAACCTTTCATGAAAAATACATTCCAATGAGTGCATTAGCTCTCACCGCTCATCCGCTAACCCTTTATGCAACATGTGCTCGTTTGGTGTTTGTGTGTCTTGTGTTACTGGAACTGAAATATCTCCTTTTGTTTGACAGAGCTGCTGGAAGAGACTCCACAAGCTCACTGTTGACTCTGTCTCTTGATTGGTATTCAGGTGTTTCGGCCACGCACACCTCCAGAGGCCATCGCCTTGTGCTCCCGCCTGCTGGAGTACACACCGACGGCCCGGCTCACCCCTCTAGAGGCCTGCGCACACTCCTTCTTCGACGAGCTGCGCGACCCCAACGTCAAACTGCCCAACGGGAGAGAGAAGCCCTCGCTCTTCAACTTCACCACCCAGGGTATGCACACACAAGACGGCAGAGCGCATTAACATGAGTCTAAATGGGGGGAAAAAACAAACCTTAGAGTGTCAGTTTGGCCTCGTGAAGATAACTTAGAACAATTATAAAAATAATAAAGGCTTGGAGGTGTGCAGTCTGAGTGCTATCCATATAAATCGACTTGTCCTTTCTTTGAAATTCTCTGCTCAGCTTAAATCATCTAATATCTTTATATTAAATCTGGAGCCTCACAGATCACTAAAGAAATTAAAAATTTAATTTAAGCTGCCTCAGTTCCTACCAGACGAAGAATTTAAGGTTGCAACTAAATCATATGGTATTGGTCCTTATCTATAAATAGTCGTCCTCATATTACCTTAAATAGTATTAAAATTATATCTTGATATTTGGCTATCTCTTTCCAAATTGTTCATGTGTCAGACATGCGTGTCTGCTACGACAGGTAGCTTTGGAACAACATGACATAACATATTATGTTCTTTGTCTTTCAGAGCTATCTAGTAATCCCTCTTTGGCCTCCATACTCATCCCTGCTCACGCCCGCAGCCAGGCTGCCGCCTCCACCCCAACCAACGCCTCTGCCACCACAGGTTAGAGGCACGCTTCCTCCATCAGGTCCTTGTTTTATGTGGCTGCTCTATATTTATCACTTTGAAGTACTGCTTGTGGCTTCTGTTACTGCAAACACGAGAAACCATTTCATTCCCTAAAGGCCAACATATTTAATTCTAAATTGAGGTGATTTAAACTTTAAAAGTTGCTGTGTATTAATGAGAAGCACTAAATGTTGCATTTTAAGTTGTTGCTTTGGCTCAGTTTCGCACATTTACGCTGCGATCACTGTAACCGCTGGTCACTAAGCGCCTCCATTAGGGCGCTAAAGGCCTCACAAGCCTGACTCACGGCGGTAGTTAAAAAAAGGGGACGGCAGTATTTATGCCCTTTTACTCGCTGTGTTTTTCAGTTTGAGGTGCTGTGAAGGTGGCTTACTCACCAACACACTGTTTTACTTTTTTGCTCTCCCTGCGTTTGTCGTCTTCTACATTCATCCGTGTGTCTCCTGTTTCTCTAAACGGCTGACCCCCTCTTGCCGTTCGTAGATGGCAGCAGCACAGAGCGAGGTCCCAGCACCACCACCGCCTCCGCCTCGGCCTCCAACTCCACCTCCTGAGCCCACAGACAAGACCGCCCGCCCTGCCCCGGTCTCAGCCCCAGCCCACAGCCTCTCCATTGCCCCGGCCAGGGGGTGAGCTCTGCTCAGCTCTGCTCCGCCCCGCTCTCCTCCCCGACAGCAGCGGAGCGATGCTGAAGCAGTCCGGGTTCAACAGCTAAACCAACTACCCCGTGCCACGACCACAAACCAAGCCCTTCCCCTGACCCGCCTCTTTTCTCTCCCCCTCTTCTCGCCGCCCTCAACTGGCCTCCTCATACAGCTGTTTGAACTCTTCTCCATCCTCCGTCAAAGACATCTCTCCGTGCCCTTTTAGCGGGGAAAGCGAAGCGCAGGGCCAGAGGTGTTGTCAACTGTACTATTGATAAAAGTACACTGTACATGTATACACAATGCTAGCCTGCTAATGTTTGTAAGAGGACAATCTGTAGAAAAGTCCTAAGCTGTTCACCTTGGCCTCCCCCTCTTGTCCTCCCCCCCTCCACATTGTTCCATTTTTCTGCATCCTTTGACCTCTGACCTCCCACCTCGTGTCCCCTCCCTCCCCCCTCTCCCCCCCCTTCGGTTCCTTCTGTAGTGCATGGCCTGAGTATGGTAGGATCACCTGGGGGTCGCCACGCCCCTCCCACCTCCACTTCCGCAGACAAGGCATGAGGCTCACGCACGCGTATACACACACACACACACACAGACACACACACTCATGAACAGACACGCACACATCCCCACACACATGGATGCATGACGATCCTGATGTATGTGGAAAGAAGCAGTCCACTCGGGGAGGGGGGTTAATGTTTGGACAGTTAATTTTTTTTTTTGTTTGTTTCTTTTGCCTGGGGTTGTTTTTAAATGGTTAGCAAGCTGTTTTATTCAACTTTAATTTCTTTTTTTTTTTTTTTTTAACTCCTGGGTTTGATTGCCATGTAGAACGGATGTGACATGTATCTGGTCCTGTGTGCTTGTATAATATATACATACAATACAAAACAAACATGCATACATACACAGTTTATATATTACTTTTCCTTATGTATAAAAAGTATATATAGATATATGTATATTAACTACAATGGTTCAGAAATCATTTATGGTGAGCTCATATCTGGCAGAGCAGTGGCAATATTTGCTGCTGCCTAAAGACAATAGATTTAGATGAGGTGGTGTTTTTTTTTTTTGTTGTTTTATTTTGTTCTGTTTTATTCGCTGGAGTGTGGTTAGATTCCAGCAGCCACTTCCCCCGTTCTCCTGTGTTGTCTGTATCAAGGCTGTAGATGGATTTAGGGCATTGCTCTATTCCGCCCCGTCTTCGTACCGACTCTGTGACAGCGTCTAGACAAACATGCTCTCCTCTCTGAAACCTCCCTTCCCCATCTCTTTCTGTCTCTGTGAAGAATTCAAGATGATTCATTTTCACACTTTTTGGGGTTATTTTTTTTCGACTCTTTCGAGAAGTCCCTCGAGGTGGTCTCTTGCACACACGCCGACCGCCTCATTGTGTTGTGACCACTGACTGAAGTGTTAGCCTCTTAGCGCCGTTCCTCCTCCTCCTCCTCTTCCTCTTCCTCCACCTGCAGCACATAGACCCACTCGGTACAGTCTGTCGAAATCGTCTTATTTACAGAGAATACTCACTACATTTAAATGAAAAAAAGAAAAAAAAGAAAAAAAACGAGAAAAGAAAATGAAAAAAAACAGAATTTGTATATACAGTATAAATGCTCCTCACCAAAATTATGACTTGTATGACTTGTATGTTGTTTTTTATGTTGTTATGTTGATTTTTTTTTCTCTCTTTTTTTTTTTTTTTTCCATGTTGTGTTCAAGGTATGTATATATGCAGACCCATGTACTGTTTATGAGCAAAAACAAAGACGACAAAGGGTGGGGAAAGAAATGAAAAAAACAAAACAAAAAAAAAAAACAAGAATCAGGGCAAAACTGATGTGTTTATGGATATTGATGATGATGATGATGATGATGATGATGATCAGTTTTATCCAGCCATATGTTCAATCTTACCTGTACAGTACAGTAGATGACAGCTGTATTATTGTAACAAGAACTAGTCATGTATAGTGTAACTATAGTTTGGAGTGCCTTTGCTTTCATACACCTTCGCCTTGTTTCCACCCTCACCCGGCCCACCACCACCACCATCACCCCCCCAATCCCCCCCTTCCTCACCCCGCCCGATATTGTGACTCTCCCTTTGGTGCTGTTGAATGTCCTGCTATCCTGCAACACACATGCTCCCCTTCACACTCTTCCACTTCAGCCCCCTTCCACTCGCACATCTCCCCCCTCCTCCCACCCTCCTTCCCCTTTTTCATTGCACACTTAATGTAATATACAGACGTTAATTGTAAGGATATTTTTCCTTAACTGAAGATACAGTAGACAAGTGTTTATTTTAATAGATGTTTTATCTCGGACACACATGTAACACCGCGGTCCTCCTCGCACGGACTCCGGGGTATGAAGTGGGGGTGGGTGGGGTGTTGTGGATGGCAGCAGGGGGGTTTTAAAAAAGAATACAAAAAAAATAATAATAATAATGAAAAGGCCTCATATACTGTATATATACAATACAGTACGGTTTCTGTATTACTCACAGTGTTGGTTCTGTTACCAAAGCCAAACTATGATGTAGTTGTGATGAGTCATCCTCAGAGGCAATAACTCTCTTCTTTCTCTCTCTGTCTCTCTCTGGATATTTCGTTGTTTCTCTGTCCTCTTGCTTGTTTCTCCTCCTGGTCTGCATATTTCGGGGGTGGATTCAGTAGCACCTAAAGGGGTCGAGTCATGTAGCCTTTTTCTCTCCTGTCTCCTGCTTGCTGTAATTTTGCATTCATAAACGTGTTGCTACCCTCCACCAGAAGGTTTGACCACTTCACCCCTTACCCCCCGACTCCAGTTCAATAAAGACACCACAATGGTTACCAAAAAAAAAAAAAAAAAAGGATTAAAGCGAGTATATATACTAGTGTCACACGTTATACTGGCATATATACTGGTTGAACATGCTAACTGGGTTAAACTGGGGTTAAAGAAAAGAAAAATCTAAGAAAATACTACAAAAACATCCTGTATAACAGTACTACTACTACTTGAATGCCTCTGTTTGTGACTGAAATTTTTATTTCATTTGTTTGTTTGTTTGTTTTTTTTGTTCTTTTTTTTTTTTTTTCCTTTTGTTCTGTGAAGGTATGCTAAATGTGCGCCTCTGTAAATATTCCCTCTGCGTGCTCCGAGGAATAGTTCCCTGGTACTGTAATTTGCATTAAATAAAGAGTAGGATAGCCTTGAAATGATCAAGAAACGTGTCTGATTGGTCGTTCTTTTGGTGCGTTTGCAGCGTTTGCAACATTGACTTTGTTGTCCTTAAGCCTTTTTATAACTAATCTGGCAGTATGTTTAGGGCCATTGTCCATTTGGAAGACCCATTTGTGCCCAAGCTTTAACTTCCTGGCTGATGTCTTGCGCTGTTGCTTCAATATTTCCACATAATGTTCTTTCCTCATGATGCCTTCTACTTTGCAAAGTGCACCAGTCCCTTCTGCAGCAAAACACCCCCACAACATGATGCTGCCACCCCCGTGCTTCACAGTTCGGATGGTGTTCTCAGGCTTGCAAGTTCTTCCCCTTTTTCCATAGCAATCTTAGTGCATGTAAACTTCTGACTTTGAAGAAAGTCATTCAAAATTCTCTAAAAAAAAAAAAAAAAAAAAAACTCTCATTTTTAGGAAATAAAAATAATTTTTGTAATCCTGACTGACCTAAAACAGGAAAAGTTTAGTCTGATTTAATGTCAGATAGTGAGAAAAAAAAAAGAAGATTTTGTGTCTTTTTACACAATGTATATAGACTTGTGGTTTCAACTGTATGTGACTGCTCAGAGTAAAATTTTGGACTCAAAATACATCTAAATTTTAAGGAAATTAGTGCAGCAGCAGCTACATACATGTGCCATGTATGCAACATGAAAAAAAGTTGTATTTAATGTAATCCATATTCTACACTTAGATGCAGCCAGACAGCTTCTTCACTTACCTTAAGCGCCTTCTGTTTTTTTTCTTTTTACAAGCTATTTTGACCAATATAAAGGTTTCAGTTTCTGAAAGGTTTTATAGATACTCGCTCACATGTTTGCTGTGGCAACTATCAGCCCTGGACTTGCTGTGTTATCCTGTGTGCCAGTGTGACCACAGCGGGGCAGTGTTTGTCTTATTATGCTGCTAATTACCTTTGACACACCATCACACAGTTCAATGTCAAGAATATATTTAATCATGTTTATTTACAATAAATGTATTGACGTTTTGTTTTACATAATTATATCACAACACAACCTGAGGTAACAAATATGAAAAGCAGAAAAAGCCTTGAGAATACATCACCGCCTCTGACAATTCTGAGTGATGGGAAAACCAAATTTACCAACATGTGCTAAGTGTAAGCAACACAACATCCATCCATCCATCCATTATCTATACACCGCTTAATCCTCATCAGGGTCACGGGGCGCTGGAGCCTATCCCAGCCGACTTAGGGTGAAGGCAGGGGACACCCTGGACAGGTCACCAGTCTATCACAGGGCTACACTTAGAGACAGACAACCAAGCACACTCACATTCACACCTATGGACAATTTAGATTCACCAATTAACCTCAACATGTTTTTTGATTGTGTAGGAGGAAGCCAGAGAACCTGGAGAGAACCCACGCTGGACAAGGAGAACATGCAAACTCCACCGGGACGCGAACCGGCAACCTTCTAGCTGCGAGGCAACCAATTGCGCCACCTTGCAGCCCAACATAGAAATGATAATTCCACTACAGTTCCCTTGTTCTGCAACCAGATAACTAAACTAACTTTCTTTGATTTGCAAAGAACAGATAATGAATTACTTTTATAGCAGGACTTGCCTCGTTTTGTCAGATGAATAATCTTCACATGTTCAGATTAATGTGCATTTAATGCGTAAGACCATTACAGAAAGGTTTCGGGTCTCCATGAATAAACAAACTGTTCTCAGAGTGTTGCATCAGAAGTCAATCGCAGGTGTTTTTACTGATCACCTCCATGATGAGAGGAGAGATGGTGTCGGGCTGGATGTCCTGGATCTTCAGAATCTGTTTGCTGTACTCTTCAGTCATGGTCCTCATCTCTGTAAAGCAGGCGATCACTTTGGGGTACAGCAAGCTGAAATAGCAACAACAAATGTAGACAGAACTGTTAAAAGTTTCCCACTGAATGAAAAGAAAGTTGGCACTGTTTAGTGTTTCACTCACTGTTTTTTAGGGCCCGTCCTCTTGCAGTCGATGTAGGTTTTTAACATCAGTGCTAAGCTTTCATGAATCTTGTCGATCACACTGTGTTGCTGCACACCTGGACGATCTGGTGGAATAAAAAAAAAAAATTACTTTTGAATCAAACCTGAACCTAAGAATGTCTGAAAAAAAAATCTATATGAGTGGCTGCATACAAATGTGCACAGTTTGTAGGGTTTAATAATTTACAGGGTTCATAAATGATTGATCAGCAAGAACTGGGGTGAACTGATAAAAACCTGCTGCTACCTGGAGAAAACAGGGACATGGCTTGCATAAGAACGTACTCTTCCTCCTGCAGGTCCAGTTGGCGCAGCGTGTGGTGAAATTTGAACACAGGCTCCACCAGGAGTGGCTGGAAACCCGCTGCAGAGCACAGAAAAGCAGGTCAGTGACAGGACCGAGATGGAAGGAGGAGGAAAAACAGCCACAGTTAAGAGTCAGTCAGAGATTCAGGAGGGTTATTGGCAGCAGCTAATGTAGCCTCAGGCAGAGGTGAAGAGTCTTTTACAAAGATGTGGGAAGTTCTCTTCTTTCTAACTCTTTCAACACTCCCAGATTTTTTTAGCCTTTATCCCCAACTGACACTGACGTGAGTTCACTTGAGGCGGTTAATCAGACTTTGAACGGCCCCTTCTGGAGTCACCAGAGTTTCTTTTTTTTGTGCCAGAAAACCTCCCATTACAGCATCATCTCTGCAAGGCATCATAACATCCTCAAAATCCATATCACACACAATATGTTGTTAATTATGGATAGCAGGTCTTTGTGCAGCTTTACATAATCTGCACAGAATGTTTTCATGATTGGCAAAGCACATCGCTAAACTACAGGCTGCAGGTCAAACCACAACCATATTCTTTACTCAAACAAATACACTGTCCGCCTCAATGAATAAATCATTTTTCAATCTGAGATTCTCGTGAATCTCTTGGATTTTTTTGAAGCCAGTTACCTACTGTGGGCGGATCAGCCTGAAAACCATTAACAAGTTGCTGCTTTTATTTTGCTCCTATAGTAAATATAAGGCTCCAGCCCCCCCGCGACCCTCGTGAGGATTAAGCGGTGTATAGATAATGGATGGATGGATAGTAAATACATGGAGCAGGAGTTGCAGCATTTGTTTTGTTCTTCTCCAAATAGAGGACACAAAAGTCAACGAGATCCGCTGTCCGAGAATTTGCTCTGAGATTCTCAAGACATTTTTCTAACATGTTTTTTCCACTGATCCCAAAACTGTGGCGCTGATTGTCTAACTGTTCCTACAATTTTCCCAACACACAAGGCTTCGTGACATTTCTACAGTTAGAGCAACAAAAAGAGAGAATGAAGTGTTCACACAAACCCGCCTCTTTCCTTTCTGATGATTACTGTATTGTATTTAATTCTTGGTTTTGCTGCATTTTACTTAAATTGTGAGATTTGGGCCCATTCGTAAAACTGACTGACTGGGACTTGACATACAGAGTAAAAAAAAAACAGTAGTCAAGAAAAATTCAGTATTGCTGAAAAACTATTCCATACATATGTTACATGAAAGCCCAACTATAGTTATTCTGTATTAGCAGGATGTCCCAGTAACTCTCTAGAAAGAATCCAGTTGATCTGAAATGCTGCAGTGAGACAAATGCTAACCCAAGTCACCCATTCAGTATCCAACCAAATGTGAAATGTGGTCACAGTTCTCACTTCTGTTCCCGATTTACGGACAGAAAAGTGTTTTTGTCAAACATGAGATGCTGCATTAGACGTCTGTGTGAATCTTGGTAGATACTACTGGATGAATTCTTGGCTTAAAGTGAATTTTTGTGCCAAATTTGAAGAAATTTATTCAAGTTGTTGAGATTTCACATTGACAGGAGTGCGACATGAAGACAGAAGGACAACCAGAAATCAAAATGCCTCCAACCATGGCTGTCACTGCAAAATGAGAGGCTTGGATTCACATCTTTATCCTTTTTTGAGTTTATGCCTTGACACCTTAACCGGTTAGTCTGACCAGTAGTATGAAGAAATGATTGTTATGAGGAGTCCAGGACACTTTGCACATTGACCTGACAGCTCTACGATTAAAGTGCCTCTGTGTGGAATTTCTACAAACACCTAGCGGCAAATCAGAACGGTATTCCCTGTTGTCTGAAATCGAATGCTAAATATCCCTCTTTTTGTTGCCATGACAGCAAAGTTATAGGCTGTCTGCTGGGAAAAGAAGCAGGAAGACAATTAATGACTGTGAACTCCATTTAGTTTAATCTTTAAACCACAACATTCTGGTGAGTCTTCCCACAGAAGTTGCTTTGCACCGCTGAGAACATGGGATAGGCATTTCTGTTCATATTTGTACTTTGCAACTTCACATGCGCCTTAAACTTGCCGCAATGGAAACATCCGTGTGCAGGCGTTACTTTTTATCATGTGTCCTGCATCTGTCAATCAGATTCACAACATGCCAGGCTGCTTTTGTTCTGATTACTTTCACCCAGTGAATTCTGCACAGACAGAAATACCTCTATGCTGCTGATTTGATCAACATTACATCATATTTGTGTCCATTACTGAATGTATTCTGTGTTATTGCAATAGATCTGATTAACTGTAGCCACATAGTTCCCTTAGAAGTTAGTGGAAACCAAAACAGGGCTAACTTGTGTGATCATAAGCAAATATTGAATGTTGTAACTGCAAAGAGTGTTACACAGTTTGTGCCAGTGCACGGTGTCTCACCTCGTACGGCATCGTCTATGCAGTACGTAAGAGAGCCACATTCCCAGTTGCTTGTTTTTGAGTTGAACACCATGTTAAAGCGGATCTGCATTATTTCAAACGTGGCTCCCTTCAGGAGAGATATTTGGTCCCCCATAGGTAGAGACCTGTAAGAAACCAAGCTAACATGACACACGTCCAATTCTGCCAAACAGTCATTAAACATGAAACAAAACCACAGACTCAAACATGCATCAATGCACATATTTACCGGAAATCCTTTAGACTTTTGGAAAAACTAATGATGTCCTGGATCATGTATGTTGTGAGGTCGGTCATATGTGGAAGAGCGGTGAAAACACAGGTGTTATTGACTCCCTCGTGGTTTCCTTCTTTTTCTGAGGAACCACAGGGACTGAAGAGGGAGGAGGAGGAGAGGGAGGAGGCATATGAGGATGCTGTGGGGTCAGTTGCAGATTTACTAGCTGTAGTGCAGGTGTTTGTAGAGCAGTTGGTCAGTGGGTGAAAGGGCTCGCTTGCAGACTGGTTGTACTCACTCGCGGGGAGGATGTTTCTGTCCATAGGCTGAAAAAATAAATCGTCAGTCTGATGGCAAGTCGAAAAAATGGTAATGACGGACACTTTAACCTGCACGGAATCATTCACGCACCCTGAAGCCACTGAAGCGGGAAAATCCTGAGTCGAATGTGCTGCGGTGGCTGCAGAGGAGCTCCTGGATGATTTTTTCTTGTTGGGATGAAAGCTGAGTCGATACATTATGCATCTTCTTCTTCTTGATTCGGATTCTCCTCTCCAATACCTCTTTCTCAGACATGACCACTAAATGGACATAAAAAATACCAGCTTGTAACAAAAGTCACCACAGAAATAACAGAAATATTAAAGAGTGAATATTGTCCTAGAACCGAGCCCTGTGGAACGTCCTTGGAAATTAAAAAAAACTCTCCTCTCTCACTGTCTGAAATGCTCCATTTTAGCTCCTGCCTCTCTATGGCCCCATGAAAACATGGTCACCTACTGTAACCTCAGATCTATGAGAATATTCAGAAAGACATAGCCGTGGCAGAAGTGGTGAGGAAATAACTGCCAACTGCGGATGGTGCTCCTTCTCTATTTGAAGGCTTCTGAAATGAGCCATTTGGCAGGTTTTATGCAAATATGGGCTGTGATGACATAGATAAGTAATGGAAGAGAAGCCTGGATTTCAAATGAGGCGTCTCAGGCTAGTGAGCAGCAGTGTTTTCTTTGGGAGAGAATAGCTCCCTTTGGTGCTGACTTGGGACTAGCAGATATTAGTGATGACCTCACAGTATCACATACTTCCTACTGTCACTGTAAGGCAAAAAAACCCAAAAAAAACAACACAGTATCAAAGCTGTTTGTTAATTAATATGGTATAACTTGTTGTACCTGGATGTTACTTACTCTCCTTGCGCATGCCAATGTCCTGGCATTTCCGGAAGCGGCAGGCTTGACATGACCGGCGGGTGTTTTTCGTTATGATGCATTTACTCAGCAATGGACAGTGGAGCTGCGATGACCTCTGTATGGCACGCCTGAATTTATTTACAAAAAAATCAACAGCTTACAAACATCGTACTGAAGTTAGAATTAGAAGAATAAAAAAATACACCTTTTATTATAGCATTACTGTGTGCCTTGTATGTATATAATGGCACTGGATCGGCTAGGACATAATCCAACACAGTGATGAATAAAAATTTGAGGAAATAAATTAAACATATTAGCTTAAACCAGATGTTGGTATTATAGTGGCTCTGTATTTTGTTACAGGCATATAAAGCTACCGCGTGTTACAGTGTATTTGAATAACAGGATCAAGGAGAAATCTGGTGGCAACAATCAAATAATGAGACCTGTACAATACACCAGTACAAGAAACCAAACTGAGCAGACCTCTACATGACACAGCTCAAACAAATACTGTTTAGAACTCCAGCATAATTCAGCAGATGGTTTTTCTTTTTTTTTCAGTATATAAAAACATGCTGCATGTGTAATGATAATTAGAAATGAAAGCAACAGCAGTGATCGTACTTTTAAAGGTGCGTTAATCAGGCACAAATCATTTTGCATAGCATTCAGTTTAATGTATGAGGTCTTTGTGGATGGACTGAAGAACTGTTCGGGTCTGTCTGATACGGTTCTCAATCAGTTTTAATCTTATGTGCATAATCAAAATGTCAATATCACTCTTAGAGACTTTCACGCAGTGGCATGCGTTCTCACGAAGGTTCATCCTTGATAACACAGAGCTTCAAATCTCTTCAACCTCTGAAGATTTGCATCCAATAAACTGTCTAATCGATTGTTAAAACTTGGATCATGTTAATCTGTGGGAATGTAAAGTCAGACAAGGAAAACACTGAAGGTCACCCTTTGCTAATTAGGAAATATCTAAAAAAAAAAAATCCATGTTTCTGAGCCTGATTCTAAGAAACACTGACAAGCATTTGTCATGGATGAACTAGACTACTGCCAATCCCTGTTTCTGGACCTTCCAAATAAAACAAGGCCTTAACTGTAACCCATTCAAACCAGAGCTGCACGAGTTACTAGAACAAAAATATCAGAAGTCACTCCTCTGGTGCTCAGAAACCATAGCTAGCCAGCCCTGTGGCTTTGAGAATATGATTTAAAATTCTCCTCCTGGTATACAATGGCCCTCAATGGCCTGACTCTGCAATGCATTTCAGAAATTCTCTCAGTATAAAATCCAAGCAGATTTTTTCAGGTCACAAGGTGCCTTCAAAGTTTAGACAGATGTCATTAAGCATTTATGCACCTCCTGAACAGAACAGCTGGCCTGCTGATCTAGAAGGTGCTCTGAGCCTGACATCCTTTAAAAGCAAATAAAAGACTTTTTTATTCAGTCAAGTGTTCTCTTGAAGACCTAACCTGGGTTTTAGTGTTGCTTTGTTTCTGTAAGGTATATGTACAGTATGTGTTTACGTGTGTATATGTCAAGAGTGGAATTCTATTCTAGGCCGGCCTGGAATGGAATCTTTTCTTGTGTCGAATCTTGCATGTCTACCTCATGTGAATAATAATAATTCCAACATTCTGATTTGGGCCAGCAAGTCAAATTCCATTCTGGGACAGCCAGGATCAGAATGCCAGTATGGGCCACATTGGTGTCAAGATTCCAATCTGGGACAGGATCAGAATTCTAATCTGGCCCAGCCTGGATTCTGACCTGGGCTGGCCCAGATTAGAATTCTGAAGATTCCATTCTGGAATCGGGCTGGATTCCAATCTGGGCCTTGACATACATATGACCTCTGAACTGCTTTTGTATGGAAATTTAAATAGAACAAGATTACAAATGGGCTACAAGGTGGCTCAGTGGTTAGCCTCGCAGCGAGAAGATCCCCGGTTAGGACGCCTGGGATCTTTCTGTGTGGAGTTTGCATGTTCTCCCTGTGCAGCGTGGGTTCTCTCCGGGTTCTCCAGCTTCCTCCCCAAGAACATGTTGAGGTTAATTGGTGATTCTAAATGTGTGAATGTGAGTGTGCTTGGTTGTCTGTCTCTAAGTGTAGCCCTGTGATAGACTGGTGACCTGTCCAGGGTGTCCCCTGCCTTCACCCTGAGTCAGCTGGGATAGACTCCAGCCCCCCGTGACCCTAGTGAGGATTAAGCAGTGTATAGATAATGGATGGGTAGATTACAAATGATGCAAACAGCTGTTAAGCTTATAACCTTTGAATGTCAGTAGCTTTTTCATTTACACTTTCACTTTTCTTTCCACTCTCAACCACTGCGTGTGTGTGATGGTGTGTGTATGTGTGTGGGTGTGTGTGTGTATGTGATGGTGTGGGTAGCAAACTGCTGAATAAACAGAGGTGTACTGAACTGATTTCCACTAAATCGATTGAATCATTTCCTTTTTGCAACTACATAATGTATTTTATTTGACAAATGAAGAGTTGTTCTGCTATTAAAAGTGCACGAATGTGATAGTTTCACTTGTGTTTTGCAACAGCGTAATAGAAAACATGTTTAAGCAACTGAAAAAATCGTGTTTAAGGATATTGGTTTCAAGCTTACATAGCAATATTGATGACAAGTATGTCCTCAGGCAGGAAGTAGACATGCAGCACAGAGAATCAATCACTGTGATGAGGAAGAAACTGCAGCATAGAGGTGAGAGATGAACAGGATTTATAAGAGAAACATCACCTGAAGAAGCCCTTGCAGCCTTCACACGTCAACGCGTTGAAGTGGTAACCCTTTGCCCGATCTCCACACACACCGCAGGCTCTGGGCTCGTCATCCTCTGTCACCTTTCCCTCCTCCTCTTCCTCCTCCTCATCATCCTCTTCATTTGGCACTGTGAGCATTTCGCAGATGAACTGCACCTCGGTGTCCTTTGTGCTCATTCTCTCCTGAGGGCTGATTAAATAATTCTGGCAATCACTACCTTCACACTGGTTCGTTTCAAGTGAAGCACTGTTTTTGCAACAAGTGGAAGAGTTTTCTGCAAAGTGGGGTTGTAACTACAAGCACAAACAACTCTGTGAGGTCAAGGTCACGAGCCATTTTTATCATGTCCCAATTCATTTACAGACAAGAGAAATGATCTGCAGCACTGTGCTTACAGACATGAGTATAAAACAGCTATACTGTGGCTGAATTATTTCTTCTATTATATTTTGGAATAGAAATGTAGTGACACAACTATGACTGAAGGCACCGTGTGAAGTCTGAGTAGATTCTCAGTCATTCAGTAAAACAAAAGTGGACTTCTCTTTTTGGTTCATGAAGACGCTTCACCTGTCATGCAAGAGGTTTCTTCAGTTCTAACTGACTGATGGGGACTTCCAGATTTACGTCACCCCCAAATTACATGGCTAATGATCCATTAAGGATCCAAGTCTATAGACCCAAGACATCCCCATATGCCTGGTGATGTAAATGTGTCTGAAGCTGCCAAGTTAGTGACGACCTGGGAAGGGTTCTCAAGACTGCGTTCTAAGTACCTGATAAGTGGTGCCTTAGATCAGCACCTCTGTTTAGAGATGGCTGTCCCATTTTAACACAGAAAGCTTCCTCCTTGACTGTGTTGTGCATATTGAGGAGGAGGATGGAAGCCTGATGTTTATCAGAAACCAACACACACAGACCAATACCTTCTGATTACCACCACCACCCACTGGAACATCAGCTGGGGGTTTATCAGAACCTTGCACCACCGGATTGAAAATGTGCCTACCACAAGAAGAGAAGCACACCCATGTTAAGAAAGTACTTGCAACTCGTTGCTATCTTAACTGGGCCTTCATGAAGTCAGCAAAGAGCTCAAGCAGAGAAGAAAAGAAGAACAGATGGAGCAACATTGTCATCCTGGATGTAGAATTTTAGTATTATTTCCAAATACAACATTCAGGTGCACTTTCAGGGTTCAAGGTTCACCCTAAGAATAAAACACCCACACAAAAGCTGAGCAGTGTTGTATATGCAGTACAATGCACAGCCCTGTGTATAAGAGAGACTAAACAACAGTTCCTCAAGTCCATCGCATAAAACAGGAGAACCAGCCATGCAAGACTTGGTAGTTCACCTCCATCTAAAAGATAAAGGACAGTGCAGGAATGTCCACATTTTGGACAGACAAGACTGTGAAGGAAGCCATCTATAAGAACAATAAAACTGGAACAGCCATGTCGTAGCAGAGAAGCGCGCCACAACATATCAGGTTCTTACAATGCAGACGTGAGATGTCTCCCCAGAAAGTTTTACAACAATTCACACCTCAGTGGGCTGCTAGTAGGCCATTAGCCATGTAATGTAGGGGTGACAGTGTATATCTGTGACTCCTCAGCAGTCGCTTGGAAATTATGAGGCCTCTTGCACAAGACTTGAAACATCTTCAAGAATCAACGCGAGAAGTCCAGTAAGGTTCTACTGAAATTCTTAGGATCAGGGTCAAGTCATTTGAGTATTAGATGCTTTAATTTGGATCTATTTATTACAACTAAATGATGTGAGGGAACCATCTCAAACATAAATAAGATGTAAAATTGTTCCCTTTTAGTAAGTGAGTAGTGCACAGTTTATACATCACTATGGAGACTCTTGTTCCTGCTGATAAAGAATTATGACATTGCCTAATGCTGGCACACTGACATTTAGTGTAACACAGTTTAATGTGCGATTTGCTTAATCATTTATTCTGGCAGCAGTTCAACTCTTAAAGCCAATAAAGGTTGTTCTATTTAAACCACCGTACATGCCATTTATGACTTGTGATCACACTATGTATATTTTATGTGATGTGTTGGAGTCTTTAAACCATGCAGGACCACCACAGGTCTTTCATTGCTTTTACTTTCACTGTCCAAACACTGTACAAGTAGTTAAACAAAGTTTTCTTTGACAGCTCTCCTCTTTTCATTCTTTGGACTTTGCAGTGAGTTTATGACACAACTGATCTTTTGCTGAATTTCAATGAGAGGTGTCAACTTTAAAGAAAAAGACCTACTTGTCCTACGTCTCCCTTACCTGGGTAAAGGTCGAGCTTTAATCAAACAGAAATTCGAGATCATTCAACTCACTCACTTGATGATCCCAGATGTCCAACAGCTGATCGCAGTCCACAGTTTGTGCCACACTGCAGTTAATCCATGAGGATTATAAATTTAATTTAAAAAAACAAAAAAACAAAAACGCAACAGGTGAGAAGTGTCTGGTCCCAGCTTTTCCTGTTGGGCGTGCTGCCTGATGTTTTGTGCCAGGTTCGGTTACTGCAACCCTCAGGGGGGCGGAGTTAGAAGTCCAGCACCGCCCACCTCGATCAGACTCTTTCACCTTCTGCTGATGAGGTCACTCGGTGAGAGTTGATGCAGGATGGTGATGAAGTCAGAACAGCAACTGTGCATCAGTGGTGTCCAAAGCTGTGTGTAGGTGCAGTGCAGTTTAAACAAGGTTCAAGAAGTTCATTTGTCCTATACTGACATACCATGACACCCATATTTAATGCACTTTTGAAAGGCTGTTTAGGAGTTTTACTGCCCTCTAGTGGTTGAAACTCACTTTATGTTGACAGACTCAGTTGGCTGTTTAGCAGTACACCTGCAGGCTTGTGAGGACAGAAGTGCATTCCATGGAATTTTTTGCCATTTTTGGGCACATTTACACAAGAAAACACTTCTTTGAGACAGTGCATAATATTGACATTTAAAAAATAAAAATAAAAAAAAAAACTTAAAAAAAACAACAACAAAAAAAACAGATCAGGTGTATGGAAAGAGAAAATAAACTCTTATATCACACCTTCAAATCCATAAAATCAGAACCAGGGCTTCCAGATGATGGTGTTAAATGGAGCCAGACCTCTGACATCCAGGGTCAGCTGTGTGTGGTGTCATCATGTCAAGATTTAAAGAATTAAAATCAGTTCAGTTCAACTCATTAGGCTTTATTGGCATGAATATCAGGTTAACAATATAGCCAAAGCATCAAGGATAGTGTCATTTAAAAATTACTATTTATTAAGTGGAATAAAGAAATAAAACAGGATGACAAAAAGAGCAAGAGAATAGCAAAATAAAGGAAAAACTACTGTGTTGCGTGTGTGCCACATGTTTGTTATGATAAATGTCATATACGGTGATGTTTTAACTTTGCGTCCTTCAGCTTGTGACATGCAGCCACAGTTAGTGCAACAAAGAAAGCTGCATGGCCCAAACAGAATCTGCGAACACAGACACTTTCTTCTTTTGGTAGCCGCGATTTCTTGTGTCATCTTTTCGCTATAGCCACACTGTGGTCACTGAGTCTGTGTTTGTTCAGGGTCTGTCTCTGTTTTGCATCTCTGACTGTGAAGAGATACATGCTGTCAGTTTATATCTGTGGTTTAGGGGGAAATTGCATGCCGTTTGTTTTCAATTTCGATTTGACTCCAATGTTCCAGATAACCATCTTCTGGTAAAGTAACAATGTGACTGATTCTGAATAGTCGTTGGGCGTTGTGGTGGTCTGAGATTGATCAGTGTTGGGTGTTATCGAATCAGTCTGCAGGAAATCTTTCCTGCCCAGAGCAATGACCCTGTACAACACCTCGCCTCTGCCTGACAGAGAACATTCTCAGTTCTCTGCTCTGTAACATGCTTTGTTTTGCACTGTTTTTCAATTTGCACATTTTGTACAGTTATTTAAAAAAAAAAAAAAGTATTTAACTTTAGTCCTTTTTCTATTATTTTAGTTTTATAGACTTAATTTACTATATTTGCTAACTGTTGTGATTTGGTGTTTTTCTTTTTTGCTGCTGTATCACAATAATTTCTCTTCTAATAATCTATTCTATTCTATTCCACTCACGGGTGCCTTAATCTCGGTGTGTGTCTGGGGCTTGATTTGTCATAAAACCAAAATGTAGGTGTTCCTTTTTATGTTAATAATTAATGGGTAACAGCCTATTTCTGGTCTGCATGCATTGGTAGGTGCTTTTCTTTGAATATTTATTATGGACCTGCAGAATTCTGCATGAAGCACCTTTATGGGTCCCATCTAGTTGGATGACTGTGTGGACCCCAAACTTCTCTGTCATAGAGGGCGACTGGCTTGATTACATTGCCAAATATTACCTCTAAGCTCTCTAAGGTTGCACTAATTTGACCTGTATGGGAAGATGCCAGGAAAACGCCTTTGCTGTCCAGTTTGACACTGAAGATACAGGGATAATTTGTTCTGTCCAACATGATCAAAGAAAATGTTGCTTGGTCAAAGTAACAGTGAACATGTTTGGAACAGACCAAAGGCAGCCTCTCAGTGAAGGAACCTCATACCAGCTGTGAAACGTGGTCGTGGAAATGTCACGGTTTTGGGTTGCTTTGCTGCCGGACAGCTTGGAGCTATTGATTCAGCTATGAATTTTGCATCTTATCAAAGAGTTTTTGAAGATGATGTGAGGCCATCTGTCAGCATGCTGAGCTGAAACAGAAGTGAACCTTTCCACAGGATAATAACCCCAAGCACACTCATAAACCCACAAAGGACTGGCTCAAAAAGAAGTGGCTCAGTCAAAAGCCAGATTTGAATCCTGTTGAAATGCTGTAGGGGGGATTTGAAATGGGACATACATGCAACATTCAGAGATCTGGCAACTGAAGGAATTTTGAATGGGGGTCGAATTAATAATTGAAACAACATTTTTTTTTTTCAAGTGTATCACCTCTGTGGTCACTGTCTCAAAGAAGATATTCTTTGCCTGTATAGATGTGTCAAACTACTGCAGCTTATCAAAAGTCCTGCAATTAATTCTAACTTTAAAAAGACTGTAATGTTGTGGTTTTTGTTTATTTTTTTGTCTGACTGTTTTATAGGGATGTTGGTTCATCTTTATGGTAATTTTGGAGGTTTTGTACTTTGTGATACAGTAGTAATTTCCTGTTTCATAGTTAGAGGTGCTTCAAAGACAGAATGATTGCTGTAATAGGAACAATTTTTTGTTTAGTGTAACAGTTCTGCGTAACTGTGTCTACCGCATATACAGGAAACTGAGTGTAGTCATAGTTAAATCAAGGTTCCTGATAATGAAAGGAAGTCACTAAAGTTATGAGGATTGAGGAAGATCTTACATATTATTGGGGTACATTTTTTGTACATTCTACATGAAATGATAATCAAAAGGCTAACCCAATAACTCAGAATGGTGATTATGAAATGGATACTTCAGTAATAATACTGAACATCAAATCACACTGCAGTACAATTTTAACATTTTAGGACTCTTGTTCCTCAGCTGGAGTGTGGTGCTGCTCGACTTCCTTTCTTTGCTCCACCTGGCTGATCATCTCCTCGACGACGTGCCGGGAGGCTTTGATACCGGGACAGGTCAACTGTGAGGTTCCTGGAGTACTAGGAAGGATCTCAGAAGGCTTTGCAGTCCCCTGAATGATGATCCGAGCTGCCTGCAAGTGTCTATGCTGCTTCTGGTACACTGGGAAGAGCAACACAAGCAAAAATCACAAGATTAGACAAGTGAGGAATAAATGCCTTTAATTCTATCACACAATTGACATATGTCTTTGTTTTTGTTGTTTGAAGTCATATGGTACTTTTTACTTGCTTTTGAGTTTTGCTACAAATATTGTCACATCTTTTATTTTTCATAATTTTCAGATCTACTCTGTGATAACAATGTCTGAATATAGTAAAACAACAAATTGTACAAACCTCTTTGTCTGGCACTGGTCTTCTGGATCTCTGGGATTAGGAAGCCGTACACCAGCTCTGACACAATCTCCTCCGACTGAAGATTGTTGCGGCTTCTCACACACACAAAATTATATTTGTTCATTATTACTCTTGGTTTGGAATTTCTGCATACAAAGTGTCAGCAGACATACTGAGGTATCCGTTACCTTTCTTCCATGGCATAAGCGATGTCATTGACCTCCTTTGCCCTCTTGTGGATCTCCTCTCTGGCCTGCTCGTCGGCTACCTGATTCAAAGTCTCCAAGATAATATCCTCCAAATACAAATCCACACTTTCCTGATGTACCTGCACCACCTGTGAGACAGTGTTCAGCATTAAAATACGTGCACCGCTCGCCTGCACACATGTAGTATTGCTTTAGCTATTTACTTTGCCCACCTAAAACAGCAGAATGACACATACTTGTTTGAAGATCTCATCGTCTTCTCTGCGTCTTCGCTCCTCCGCCTGTCTCCTTCCACTCTCCTCAGCTTCACGTAGACGTCGTTCTCTCTCAGCCAGCAGGGTAAAGGCATGGATCCTGCGCTCCTCTTGGAGACGGATCAGCTCCTTGGACAAGGTATCAAACAGTTGTCCAAGCTCCACATTAACCACTCTGGCCTGAGATGCCTCCTCTTGAGAAACCTGGGACGAAGGAGAGAAGGTGTAACATGATTTTTTGGAATTTGTAAAATTTTTAACGTGTGGCTGGACCTGTATGTTTCACCTTGTGTTTGTCTTTCTGTTTTTTCAGGTTCATTATTAGCTCTTTGTCTGCTTTATGTTGCTCTTGTTCGTCCTTCTGCAGGGCATGGACAGACCTCAGTTCCTGGATGAGATCCATATAGTTCTCTTTGCCCTTAAACATCTGTATAACAACACAGACAGAAGTGAATAGCAAAGTGCTTCTAATCTGAAACAAATGTGAACAATTTGGTAGTATTTCAGGGAAATAAAAAATCCCAACATATCCAGACCTCATAGTGGGTACTCATTCCTCTAAGTACTTTCTGCAAGTGGATCACTGCAAGCTCTGTCTCCTCATCCCCCTAAAGACAAAAATATAAATCAGGTAACAAATAGGACCTATGGTATAACATATGTAAGATTACCAAGGCATGAATCAGTTACAGTTAAAGAAATCAGCTGACCTCTGGTGGCTTCTCCACTCTGGAGGTGACAGGACGAGGAACAGGTTTCTTTTTTTTGACAAGAAAACGTAAGGACTTTTGTTTGTTCTCCTCCTCCCTCAGGGCCTGTGGAGCCACAATTGGTCATGTGTCTGTATCTAAAACGGAATTTCTATGCTTATTAAACACAGTTTCCTGCTTTACCTTGTACTTCTCCAGCAGTTCTATGGCTCTGTTCACAGGTTGCTTGTTCACAGGTTTGACAACTTTGGATTTGGGTCCTTTAACCCCTGATTTATGGACTGAAGCACTGAGTCCTGCCTCTAGCGCCAGCAAGCCTACAATTGACAGACAGTTAAAAATGGCCTTAACAACAAGGGGATACTGGTGACTCTGAGATTCTTTGATGGAAATTATATGCTTAGTTCTTGTTCAAAAGCATTTGGATGCAGACCTTCATATGTGTTTAAGTAGGGGCTTTTAAACTTATTGTTTCTGGTGTTCTTGTTGGTGACCCGGTGGGTCTGAGGGACATATATTGGAGAATCAAAGCTACGTCGCTCCAGCTTCCCCTCAACATTTCTCGACTTAACTTCCAATTTTCTCAGTGCTACGGACAAAACAATGACAAAGGAGGGACAGGTGAGTGAAACAAGACTTAATTAACACAGTTATGATCAGAATGTAATGATAGAACAAGAGTGGTGGTTGTCTTACACCTGATGTAGTCATTGTGGATTTTGTCCAGCTTGGTCTCCTTGTCTTTTTGGTGCTTAGAATATATCTGATTCAGTCTCTCATTTGTGACATCTTTCTGAGTCTCATCTCTCTGCTTCAGCAGGTCCTCCAACACAGCAAGACGAGCCTCTTGCAACCTGGACATAACCCACATAAAGTTGCAGAAGGACTGGTTTTGCACGGCAAAAATTGAAGGCACATCAAAGTGTGGTTTTTCCAGTATAACTTAATAAGGCAAAAACAGCAAATCTGGGTTTATGCCAATGTTTATGCATACATATGGCTGTAGCATGCAAGAGATTTATTTCCCTGTGTCACTGTACACTCACTCTGTTTATTCAAAGTGAATGCATGCTGCTAATAACTATTTTTGGCTACTTGGGGGCAGCAGAAACAAGCACTCTGCACAAAACTGAAACTAAGCTTGTCCCGAGGAGAGTGACAAATAGAAGTTGAGACAATGACGCAATTCAACTGCTAAAATTTAATGTTCACACTTAAGCTAAACATGTTAACCGGTTGCTCAAATTTGTGGCAAACATAGTGCCAACATAATGTTACGTAGTAGTAGTTAACTTCACCATTTATGTATTAATCAGTTAGAGACACAGCACCACTCACTTCTGGATTTCTTCTTCTCTGAAAGCCCACTTTTCAGCCTCCATTTTCTCCACCATACGCCTCCTCTTGTCGAGCTGGCTCAGGTCACTCAGCGGAGGAAGTCTGGCCTCCCAGGCTCGTTTGGCACGTGCCCGCTCTATCATTTCCACTTCTGCAAGGCCTGCAGGGAGACCACGACCTGACGAAGACACGATAGCATCATGATAACATACACATAAGGTGTAGGTTGACAATTTAGCTGAACAAGGAAGGAAGGCTGGAGATTTAAGGCTCTGACAATACATTATAGTTAAAAACAGATTACGTTCCGGTACCCCAAGACAAAGCTGCCAGTTGCAGGAGTTCTGAGGGAGTCGTCCCAGGTTGCACCACATACTCTGGGCTGTATGGATCTGTTTGTGTTTCATTTTCCCTGAAATCTGTCTGGACACCCACAGTGATGTGAGTAGGTTGCTGCTCAGCTTTCTTTCCATTTAGAAAGTCTTCTCTGAGATGACACAAAGAGAAAATGTGGTTACTACCAAAAAGGTCACTGGAAAAATCAACAACATGAACAATCTGTGGAACTTACTTTGGCAATGCAAAAATCACATTTGGGCCAAGCTGCTGTGCAAATGGAATCAGAGGGCTAAAAGGGAACAGAATGGAGCACTAATGTGATAGACTGAACCAGAATGTATAGTAGAAATCTGTGCAGCACAGCTTTTATCTTGTTTCAGACAAAGATAACTGTTAAGCTGTGCTCCACCAAAACCACAACATCAGATTGTATTGTGGCAAATCAAACCGTTTAAAGTATTTCCAGTAATCAGCTCCAGTTACATGGCACTCCTTTTGTCTCCGCCATGCCTCAGCATTTGGAATAAGCCTGTCAAGAAAAAGACAAGAATCACTCAAACAAACTGCTACACATGTTAATGAATACTGTTCATGTTTACAATAACAATAATAATAATAATAATAATAATAATAATAATAATACTTTATTAATCCCTTACAGAGAAAAAGACAAAAAGACTGCTGCTGCCTATTGAAATTGTGTGTGTTGTGTTACCCAGCCAGCTGCAACAACGCCTCCTTTCGCTGTTCTGCGTGGCCTCGCCATTGATGATCAATAAAGGCTGGTACTGATTGTGCAGGATCCAGTTTAATAGTATAGCGTGGCTGGTCGCTAAACATAGATGCAAATTCGGGCACTTTCCTCTGAGTAAGGAAGAGAAAAGAGCATTTTACGTTTCTTTGTTCATAATGTAACAGTAACTGAGAAACATTACAAGTCATAAGTGAGAATTTGTCCACTGAGCAATTCAGGGGTCAAATTGTGTCTTGAGGGTAAGAGATAAATAGAAAAACTAAAATATGACTTGTCTCTGACCAATGCAAGATGTGAATGAAAATGCACTGAACAAACATATAAATGCAGCATGTAAATGGCCTTCTTTGCTGCCTTTTTCTTAAAAATCAAAAACAAAAACAAACAAAAAAATACATCTAATATCAACATTGTCACTTGAAAGGGGTTAGATTTAGACAATTGCACACAAAAAGGTTTAAACTGTTCAGTTGGTGACACATTTTTGCCCACCGAGATAATCTACATCCTAGTCATTTGTGACTTTTAAGGAAAATGATCAGATAGTGTGACTAACACACAGACACTCCTTTGATCAGTGACTATAAAAGACCATTTTAAAATGACAATTTTATTCAAATGAGACAATGCCACAGATGACAAGATGCAGACAAGAACTGGCTGTTGGCATGCTGGATGCTGTTACGTCAGTTAGACTCATAGCCAGTCACTTAAATGTCCACAACTCCACCATTTGTCATCCAAGAAATTGTTTGAGACAGCATGGTACAACAGAAAATCTGCCACATGATGCTCTGAATGGATGTATCTGACAACTGCCTCTTAGAATGTCTGGCAACTTCACCGAGGCCTTCAGGAAGAACTGAACAACACTTTAGAAGCTGGCAAGTACGCCGTCATTAACTCAATGCATTGCAGAGTTGTGACTCGTTACTGACTTGTGAGTTCAGGTCTACAATCGCACTCTTGATCTGCCCATTATCATTTGTAATACAGTGTGTACTTTCATTATGTCCATTCTGTTGTGGAGATGCTGTGCGCTGGACCATAAAAACACCTGCTCCCCCAGGTTAAAAAGAATGACTAGAATGTAGAAACATATTACAAGCTACATTTACATTTTTGTTTGGCATATTGCAGCCCAGTTGTAGTAAAATATTCTTAATATATATGGCAGGTTTACCTTATATTGTAAAAGGAGGCCTGAAGAGAACACCTTGGCATGCTTTAACAGATCTGTGTGCATTAAGACCTCTTTGTGATACAACTTAACCAAAATAAAACCATGAGAAAATTATCTTCAAATATAAAATGTACAGTTGGAGCACCTTGCTATCTGATTACCAACAGAAGCATTGATTTTCTGTAGTGCATATATGCATAACTCACTATTCGATCCTTGGAGGCATAGGCTTTGACGTTGGCCCTGAGGTGGTCTGCCTCCGATGACACCGTGTAAACTGGATCTGTGGCCAACAGTTCAGTTAAACTGAGTCAGCTAGCAAGTTTTCAGCCGTCAACTGTCAGTTTTTCTGCATTTACTCACCATACAAGTGGTCATAAACACGTTCCCGTCTGACAGCTTTACCTGCGTCATTTTTTCTAGTCACTGTGCGGGTGACAGATACGCTCATTTTCTGAAACACCTTGTAATTTCTAACCAACGACAGCGACAGCGATGAACTCCGGGGTATTTACAACTGTAACCATGGAGACCGTAGACTGCCGGAAGTGGGAGGCGTCATCTCGAGCGTCTGTTCATTTACTGCAGACGTCAGGCGACATGTTTGTGTCTTTGTTTTATTTTATGCATTATTTATTTATTTAGTAAGTATTTCATAAACAAAAGATACTTCCCAAAAGCATAATCACGCCAAAAAAAAAAAAATTAAAAAAAAAAAATAATAAAAAATTCTGCAGGACGTTTCTCTCATCATTCTTACACAGTTTACAGTTTCTCTGAATGTCCGTCAGTCACCCACAAAACGCTTCTTGATGATATACTTTACTGCACCTTTCTCACGTCCATACTACCATATGTAACATGTGTTTGAGTTACTAGTGCAGTTTTTGCAACTATATTCTCGGTATAGTTGAACAAACTATACTGGATATCACATAGCCTACAACTATATTATATTATATTATATTATATTATATTATTGTAAAAAAAGTATTACCATGCCATAAGACCACTTTTACTGTCCTATAGACAGTTCTTTTTGAGATTTACATTACAAGTGTGTTTTTATATCCTCTGTCATAATTTCATTAATATTTTAATTCATGCGGTCATTGAATTTGATTAAAAGTTCAATAATTAAGAAATAAAAAATGTAACTTTGAATATTAAAAAGAATGTGAAAATATAATGCTTTTTATTACAGTTATATTTTTATGTAACAGGTCACGTGACCACAGTTTAGTGAAGGATCACACACCTGGTCAGGCGCATTACAAAGATGAAAGGCCGCATTGCCACACAGGAAACCCTACAGCCCCCAAATAGACCTCCTCCCCTTTCCCAGAGGCGCACACGGTAATTTGTGACTTTTATTTGTTTCATATTTCTTTGTTATATTTGTCAAAGTGCTTTTGTACGGACGGTTTGACACGTTTACTGTTGCGAGCTAACATATGGACCTGTCTATCAACTGAGACCAGCTTGAGAGGCTTATTGTTTGAGTCCGTCTAATTACAGACACGTTCTCGAAAAGCTTTAAAAGCAACTGAACTTTGTACATTTGAATTGTTTGTTGTATGTCCTTTATTTTTTGTTGTTGTTGTTGTTGTTTTAACGGTGTCTGCTGACAGGAGGGGGGCTTACATACATTACAGACAGACATTAATTGAAATTGTCTCCAAAGTGAGCTGGTGTTTATTTAAATATCAAACATTTATTTAATTTTTGTTTTATTAGTTGTTGTTACCTCTTTAAAAGGAAAATTTTAAGTCACTTCTTCAGTGATTTGAGGTCAGTAGATTGCTTTTTCTTGCCTTTGTTATCCCTACTATCAATTTTCAGAAGACAGGCTTTAAACATTTGGACATGTATTTACGTAGTATGCAAGCATAGGTCTGTTACCAAGTTGGTTTACGTACAAGGAGTTTGCCTCAGTGCCAGTAAAATAGAAGATAGCATCTATGCTACGGAAGAATGAAAGTACAACTACCACAAAAGGCAGATGGTGTTATTGTTAAATTTTATTTATGTATTTTTAAGTAAAACTGTACGAAAAATATTGAAAATAATGCACAAAATAGCAGTGGTAAGCTTACAGCAATATAAAAGGAGCTACACATGAACTACAGCCGTCATAAGAGTGCCTGAACTAGAAGGTTTTAAAATTCAGTACGTGGCTACTAAATATTTTGGGGGAGTTTTTTGTCTATTCAACACATATGAGCTCAAGCATGGCTCAGAAATATTTAGGAGTGAACAGCTGGCATTTAGATTGAAGTGGAGTTTTCTGACAATGTGAATAGTAAAGAGGTCATCACACAAAAGATAAAGAAGTTTGTAAAAAAGAATCTAATTTATTGATAAGATAGTAAATGCAGTTTGTTTCACAAAATGATAGGGTTTTTTTTTTTTAAAAAAGGAGTAGGCACCCACAAGTAAACCAGAGAAGAAGAGCCTTGTCTGGTGGATGCACAGATATTACGCATGGAAAAGAAAAGACCCTTTATGACTGTGCGGCATGTCAAGGCGGCTCTTGTTGGAAGTATGAAAGGTTTTTGTTCGACATTCGAGAGATTTCATGACCAAAAACCCCAACGGGCATAACAAATACGAAAAGAAACCGGAAATATTTAACACTCTACCTAAACGTTTGAAAGAGTCATTAAAAAAGAAAAAAAAAACATACATGAGCTTTTGTGTGCCCACATTCAGCTGAATGAACCAAAATTCTGGAGGACAGTGATCCTAAAAATATTGCTAAAACAACAAAAATAGCTTTTCAGGATGAAGAGGTTGAATTTACTTAACTGGCCAGCATGCACCATAACAAAATATCACATCAACTAGTTTTGCTGAGCTGTCCATTTAGGTTTGAACCACTAAACTTTGGGCCCCATGTGTGAAGGAGGCAGTTTTGTCTGCGCTTATCTAAACTTACTCAAGTTGAAATTAAAACGGAACTTCAAATGAATAAGCACAGAACCTCAGGAACAAAAAGTGGAACCGTCCAAACACTTCAGGTCTTGAGTGTGTTTGTCATTTCAGTTTGTGTGTATTTCAGTTTTTTTCTCTGCCCTTCAGAGCATATTTTTGAAGAGCTTAAAAAAGGTTGATTTTAACATCAACAGGAAGTCGGCGTTATCAAAGGGAAACACTGCATGCTCACACAAACGCATGCACACGTACGCACACACACACACACACAGCGTGACACACAGAGTTATGCTTCTCCCCCTTAAAGTCCCCAATCAGCTTTTTTGTTGTTTCTTTCTTCCCTCTTTTGGATTTCAATTTTTGGATAAGACAGCTGACTGAAGCAACATTACTTTACAGCTGGAAGGTTTTGCAATTTCTGTGGAAAAGCTAGTTCCCTCGGCCCAAGTGTGCCAGCTCACTGTCAGCTGAACTTCTGCTGCCTATATGTAGAATAAACACAGTCTAATATTAGATTTCAGAAAAAGGAGAACGACTGGTTGTGCCTGCTTTTAACCTACATTCCTCCTCACATGAGTGTTTTTAAATTTCTGAAACCATCAGCTCCAGAGAATTTTATGAGGAGATACAAACAAGTCAAGTTGGTTTAGGCGGGAGCTGATTTACGATTGTTCAACCAGAGCATTTGCAATTTGTTCATTTGCACTAAGGGTTTTTTTTTTTTTCACAGTTTCTTTTTTTTTTTTGTAACTTACACAATCAGACTGAAAGTACGTTCAAGAAAGAGAAAAGCTGGGTTTTTGATGTACATCCGCCCTGTCTGATTTTAATATAGGGCAGTTAATATAAAGATGGCTTATTGCAAGATGCACTGATGAACCGCAAACTCCGCATGCAGCTCGCACATCATAACCGCATGGAAATGACAAAACACATGTGTTGTTGTCAGTTAGTCTGCGATCTGCAAAACTGGGGACGGAGTCAGTAATAACGCCTGCACCCACAATAACGGCGCAGATAGCAGCCGTGCAGTGTGTGAGCGTTCAACAGCGAGATGTTCTTACATGAGCAGATAGGACGCCACATTACACCTACTCAGCAAAAATGATATCCTTTCTGAGATCTTTCTATTCAGGTAATCTGAGGGCTGAGCAAAATGTTGCAAAAAGAATGCAGTCAAATACAACAAACCTGAAATTAATGTTATCTTTATGAGGTGTAATGGTTTTCTTTTTTTGGTTAAACTGTTTTAGAGAAGTATGGGGATTTACAAAAATGCTAAAACCAGAATGAGAACTGCAAGAACTAATAAACACGATGACCTTAAATAGGGAGGATTATTGAGGCCTGTGGTGTTACACCAGATTTCATTTAGGTGAATATGTTCCTGTCTGCCAGGCAGTCATACGGAAGTAAACTATTGGGTAGTCAATGTTGAATTTTCTAACTATGTAAAACAAACTGTGATTAACATTTTTAATTTAATGCCAAATGTTAAAATAATGCCTTAACTACACTGATTAGATGTTTTACACCTGCTTTATGATGTTGTTTGGCCTCATTTGCTCTTTCATGCCACTTTGAAAGAGGATGATCATGTGTCTGGCAAGAACGGAAGCTGGTGTCTTGACTTATCAGACGTCATCCTGTCTGTGTGGGAGAAAAAAAGGCAGATGTTTCAGTGGAAAGCAGTTTGGACGAGGAGGAAGAGAAAGAAGAAGGGAGGGATTTGTGTGTCACACTCATATTTCTTCATCACGAGGCGCTGTCAAGGATTTTAAGGTTGTCTCGATGGGGTGAAGGAGCTGCTGCTCTCAGACTTGTCAGGCATAAATAGAGAAAGTAAAATTGCATAAGTAGAGTGAATGATAGCACCGGAACCATGCATCTTGGTTTGATGTTACTTTAGTGGGTGTTCAGAGCTGGTTTCAGGGTTTAGTTAAAGACTAGACTTGATGTTTTATGGTGCGAGAGCTTCTGTTGTAGCTCATTTACAGAAGAACCTGACGACAAACAGAGATGAGGGACGCGATGTGGATTTATGTCGTGATTGTTTTCATGGCTGAAGCGGCGTGGAGCCTGGATCCAGGTTTGAATATTAAAACATTTTGCTTACTTTTGGTTTAGATATTTAATTGCGTTTAGGCCTCGATATGAGACAGTTTTTAATACAAACAAGTTGTTCCATAAATTCAAAAACCTCCAGAAAGATTACGATCCTGTAAGGAACGTCTGCATAAATAAAATCTGAGCAAATTGTGTTTGTTACTACAGTAAGATCTTATTGGAGTCATTTCTAGACTTTACAAATGTGTATTGTAATTTTTAACTTACATGTAAATATCCTGCTTGTATGTGTTGTGTTGTCTGGTATTAGGAAGCCGTAACAACAAAGCTGATTGCTGAGAAATCAATGATGTTTGAATAAGTAGGAAACTGTAACTGTTAGTGGTTAGCGACCCTAAAATTTGTGTGACACAGCTGTGATGTGACTCAGTCGTACAGTCTGTGGAAAAAAACATGCATGAAGGTGGGCCAGTGCAGAAGCTGACAAGGGAAAAAGTTGTCACTTAGCAGATGCATATGAAGGTTGCTTCATGTTTTCAGAATGAACGAGCAGCACGCTACCACTTGTTCCTGGAGTGGAAATCATGATTTCATGTCAGGGTAGCGTTATGATGCAGCTTTTCTCCACTGTAGGGTCTCTGTTCTAGAGCTGTGGTTTTACCACCTCACTCCGATCGCAATGTTTTGCCTTTATGTATCGGAAGTAAACAAATGTCAGACCCCAAAACACTCCACAGTAAACATAATTCAGTGGAATTCACGTCTTTGAAAAAACAGCAGTAATGTCATAAGCCTCTTCGACTGTACAGATAACTAAGTGGGGAAGATTTGTTGGTGAGATTGATTTTACAGTGAAATGTCGCTGCTTTAGCTAATTCTTTTGGATGTGTTTTACAAAAGCTCAAGAAAGATGCCGTTTCTCTTGTGTGGAATATTTCTCATGTAGTCCTGCTGCAGATTGGTCCTTGATTAAAAGCCCACTTTTAATCGCATCACTTCACACCTTGGCTAACTAAACCACTACTAACAGATAAGCCACCTTGATTGCTGCTCTGCTGTGTGAACACTTTAGAATGAAGCACTTACTGCTACTTACTGCATGAAGAAAATCACAATATTTTACTAATCTTTTCTTTACATCCACCTCTGTTCCTCTCAGAAACTAATGACCGCACCTCTGCAAACTCCAGCACTGCTTCAAATCAACCCAAAATTTATGGTAAACTCATTTTCCCGTATTTCTTTCCAGCTACTTTGCATTATGAGTCAAATATTAAGTACATGTCAAGTGAGACTTGTGAATGCACAGAAAGGGAAACATGACAATATACATGAATCCTTATTCATGTTTATTTCAACTTTGAGGCACTTTTTTTGGTTGAAACGAATTAAAAGAATATTTTGAATCAAGTTATTTCTGATTAAGAAATATGTAGTCATTAGTTGATTTTTTTTTTTTTTTTTTTTACATTTACTTTTGTCTTCATCATTAGTGTTTAAGCCTGATGGTTGTCAAATGAGGGAAGGTTTCCCGTGTAAAAATCTTGGGCCACTTGATTTATTTAATAAATGTGTTTTTACCCTGAATCAGTTTTATGCCCAAAGTTAATTCTGTGTTAGGTGCAGTTAATATTTTTATTTTTATTTGCTGTGTTACATTAAATCAATGTTTTCTTTTTTTTTTTTTTTACTGCATTCTGTCCATATTGTTTTATTCCAACATAAACCCAAGCCATTTAGTAAACAGAAAATAATATTACTATGCTCTCTTTTTCTTCCAGTGCGAAGAAATGCAATGTTCAATCCTGGGAGCGATGTTAACCTGACATGCAGCAGCAAGATGTGGAATGAGACATTATTTGTTATCTGGAAACTAGACTTGACATACAAAAAGTGTGACATATCCTTTAGCAATGACGGTCGAAACGGAGACTCCTGCAACGATGGCAAATCTCTCCGTAACACATCCAGTGCTCAGTCATACCTGCACATCCCAAACTTCTCAACTCGTGATGTGGGGCTCTACACGTGCGAGTCAGTTTTCAAAGGAGGAAATGAAAATTATATAATCAGCGTAGCTATCACAGGTAAGATGCTCTTTTTGATTAATACATTCTTAGAACATGTGTTGCCCTCAACCATACTTTAAAAAAAGAAAAAAGATAAAACTGATAACTGTGGTTTCCGTTAGTTACATATACGGATGCAGATGTTTGAGTCTGAACTATCTACCACACATTTTTCTGCTTTGAGCACATAAATGGACACGTAAATATGTTTTTGTTGCTTGGAAAGGTCTTGAAAAGGGACATTTGAAGAATATGACAATAAAAGATAAAATAAAACCTAGGTATGCAAGTTAAAATGACTTAATCTGCATGATTACTTCTGCCGGTGCACATGCAAATAAGTCCGTTCTGATGTATTTTGGAGGTCTTACTGGATTTCTTCTGTTTTGTCTTCCCTGCTTCAGTTCCTCCTGTTACATCCTTTGAGTTAGAGCAAAGAGGCAACAAAACAGTGGCAGTGTGCAAAGCTGAGAGAGGAAATCCTGCTGCCAACATCAGCTGGAGTCACACAGGAAACTTATTGTTTGAGGAAACGCGGCTTGTCTCGAATGGATTTTTCACAGCAGAAAGTCATCTGGAGGTCCCTGAAGGCATGGATACACAAAACCTGAGCTGTATTATCAGGCACCCATCATGGGAAAGGGAGAAGATTCTGGAACCTGAATTTAAAAAAGGTCAGATATCTTTAGACTGGATAGCATAAGATAAAAAAAAAGGCTAAAAGCCAACAGGTTTGCCATTTTTCTTGGCTTGTTCTGTATTGTGTTACTGTTTAGTCTTCCATAAATATATATGTAGAGTTAGTGTCTATTAAATTATTAACAAACGTTCAATCCCTCTCTAGCTGAAGCTCGTTTTCCATGGACGCGCATACTTATTGTCGTGGCAGCCATTCTGTTTGCGGGATTAGTATTTTTTGCACAGAGGAAACTAATGTTGTTAAGGTAAGACATTTAATTTAACAAAAAACATGACCACTTTGTAAACTTTTTTTGGTAAGGCATTGAGTTTTTTTTGTGTTACTTTTGCCAGGCCGTGCAGACAGTCACACAACTCACCATCCAAAACTCCACCGGTGGGTATTTTTTCTGTTTGCATTGTGCACTTTCGTGTGTTTCTCTGCACCTTTTAAAGTTTCGTTCATGACACTTTGCTGTTTTTTTTGTTTTTTTTTTTCAGATAGAGGATGTGGAGGAAGTGGAACCCTATGCTAGCTATATTCAACGTGTGAACTCTATCTACAACTGATCTGCAGATTGGTTCATGTAATAATCCTACACATGCATCAAGGGCTCAGATGCACATGGCTGTTAGTGAGAAAACTGAAGGCTGTGAAACTAAGATATGGTTGCGTAGTAAAGAAAGAGGAGCGCGAGATCAAATGCTTTCGATAAGAGAGGGATGCCTCTCGGTATGAATCTGTCCTACAAACCTTTGACTGATGGAACAGGGGATGTACCTGAAGCTTGCATATGGTGCCCACTGCTCCACGTGTGGGCCTAATAAACAACTTTAATAATTATTACTACAAATGTAATGAACTGCTGAAATGGAAAGGATCGCATCCTGAACTGGATGCAGCGTGCACAAAACTACAGACTTCTGATGTTGCTGATGAAACACATCAGTGATTATGTATGGTCACACTTATTTATAGATTTACTGTAAAGAGATACTCATCGTTTAATGGAGTCAGGAAGGTACGAGCACCAAGCAGAGAACATGTTTATTTCAAAGACGCAACTTCATGTCTCGAGATAATGTGGAACAAATTTGGTGACGTGTTCATAGTATGTTTTAATGTATGTCTAGCTTTGTGTATTAAAATACATGTAGACACTTTAATCTCCTTTTAGCTTCATTTTAAAGAAGTGACACCGATGAGAGTAAATAAAAATGACTAAACAGGATTCAGTTCAAAACTGTATTCGTTGGGTGTGTCGGTAGTTAAGAATGAGACACAAAGTTTAAATGACACTCAGCTGTTTTTCTTTTTTTAAACTGCAGTTGGTATTTTTAGAAACTAAGTGTCAAAATGACTCTTCCATTCTTTGTAAATATACAGAAAAACTACAACTAATACTTTGTTGAAAATACCCTTTTTGCCACCTGTTTGATTATTATCAGCAGTCGACCATTCTAAAAAGAAAAAAAAAACAAGAAAAGGAAGGTTAGTGAGTTTGGAACAATAAACTCACTGAGACCAGAAGTGCATTTCTAAGAAATGAAAAGCTGCCCTCTACTGGTGGACACCAGAACACAGTCCTTCATTGTGTTAATGAACTCTAACAGTCTCTGTTAAGATGTCTGAATAATAATAGTAGTAATATGCGCTTAAATTAAGAACTACTCAAAGGTCTGCAGTGTTTCTAATCTGTCGTACAGCAAAAAAGCTGGTGCCAAAAAAGGGCTCAAAACAGTTTTCCTGTTCGTCTTTGCTATGAGGAAATCCCTTTTTCGTGTTACCAATGCAAATGATGGAAGATAAGAGCCGCAGTCCACTTTGAAAATATAATATATTTGCAAAAATATATTAAAAATCTATCTGAACTATCTGTACCGGTCTGAGTCAGACTGTTTAAATAGGTATCTTGCTAAGTTACAACGTTTTTTGTGCAGACTTCTGTTTCTTTAGGGCCTGAAGATATTCACTTGAGTTGGACTGACTCGGACTGCGGTTGACACCTCATGTAAGCTGAAGTGGAATTTTATTTTTTTTCCCTGAGTCAGTGCTTAGATTTTAACCCCCATCACTCAGACTGGAAACAAGATGAAAACCGTACCTGTTTACTAAGGCTTCCAGGTTTTACTACTGTGGTGTTCATTTCAGTAGTTAATAATGAATACCACAGTCATGGGAGGAGAGCTTGATACCTAAAGGTGTCAAACTCTTCTTTCTGTATGAATTCTGGTGTTAAAATAGAAGCTGCAGCAACTGTAGTCTCTCCCACCCTCGATAGATTTTGTTTCTGTGTATAGAAAGGGGGAACTGTTTTTGACCTCACACATGTATTTCTGTCTACATCAATGACTCACGTGGATTCTCTTGAATATCTAGAACACATAAACATGATTTCCATTGTAAAGCAGCAGCAAACAACTTGACAAAGACGTTGCTTTTATGACTTCTTTTGAATATTTTAAGAGATGCGGTTGATTCGTACAACAGAATGATGAGCAGAAGCGGTACGCTGTAAACTTTTAATTAATAATAATAAAAAAAATCATAAAAATTCCAACGAAACAAAGTCCACTTACAGTAAATGGTACTACGCTACTATTTCTTACGTCAAACATATAAATAATTCTGTCAGATACATCAATGTACACACTCAAAATATAAATTCTTAAGCCTGAAACATTTGTTTCTAGCATATTAAGGAAGTGCAGAGTAGTTCTGAGGATCTCTAAGTTGCAAAATGAACTCTGAAATGCAAATTAAGGTACAATGTTGTGGAGATTGACATCATAAATTGGGCACAAATTCTGAAAACAAATCTATGAAACCTGTTGAGCTGCATTTTAGGTTTACTAACATTGTTAATAAAAGGCTGATCGTTCACACATGAGGTTTGGTTGTGAACCTTAAGGTGGAGCAAAGCTGCGGCTGTATTTCAAAGACAACAGCAAGCGATTAGATAAAGATCAAACCTTCATCTGCAGTAGGAAATCATAAGAGATATGCTGACATTAGTGAACGGATATAAAGTCACTGTGCTTCCTTAGCATCTACTTTCTGTTCAAGGTTTTCTTCTCTCTTTTCACGGTTCTACCATTTTTGTTGCACGTACACCCTTTGAAAGCACAAAGCAATGCACTTTATCAAAAATATTGATCAATTTTTTCCCCGAGTTAAAAAGCAGGTGCCATAAAATGATTTGAAAGTTCTACACGTTGTGGCTTTAAGATACTCAGACATTTGGGTCATGGTGTAACTAACAGCAATTTGTCAGAAGCTGCCGGGTTTACAGTTTTGGAGACATTGCTGTATTTAAACATTAGGTACAGGGTTATTTACTTCCAATGTGATATCGTGCTGATGCCAAAATGTTTTATGAATCCAGGCAAAAACACAAAAAGTATAAATTCTTTTTGCTGTATGTTTTAGTGATGTGTTTTTATCAGTCCCACATATGCTAACTTTCTCTCTAAAAGCAAAAAAAATATTTCAGAGTCACATCAAAAGTCAGCACGTGGTGGCTTAAAGAGTTCATTCATTCAGGTCGTAGTAGCTGTAGCATCTCAGAAGCCGATAGACGTGTTTTTGGAGACGTTGCTGGTCTTGGACATGTTTAAAACTGATGAAACTTTATGCATCTTCAAGTCTTCAAGCCTGGACTCCAGGTCCAGTTTCCTTTGACTGACTACTTCCAGATATTTTGCTTATTTCGTGGTGTCTCAGGAACGCCGCATATTGGTATAAAAAGATTCCTCTTCTCCTGAGTTTCTTCTGTTGGGAGATCAAATTGAAGTTTGTGTGTTGAGGTAGAAACACCACAGTTGTGTTAAGTTACCTCAAAAGTGGAAAGAAACATCTTGGGTCGACACATTTCCACAACCAGCTGCAGTCGGCTGTGACTTTTTTTTTTCTCTCTTCTTTTTTCAGCTTCACTGTGATGATTAAGATTTGATCTTGATTCGGGTGTGAGCTTGACAGTTCAACCACCAACTTCTTGCATTAGATTACAAGATATTAGACGTCTTTTCCTGTTTGTGACACAGTCTACTCAACCTGCATCTCAGAATAGCCAAGTTGAACTTTTCCTCTTGTTTCTGTTTAGCCCATCAGAACATAATCGTCCGAACATTCCTCTTTGGACGAGCAGTCGGAGTCAGGGCTGGGTTGAAGTGCTGCTGGGACATTAACTATGGCATAGTCACAGTCGTCGTCAGTGTCAGCTCTGGCTCTTCTTGATGTCTTGGAGACGTTGTGGTTAATGGAGGCGTACATTACATCCTCATTAGGCTGTGGAGAGAGAAGAGATAGTAAGTCATCTGCCCTAAAGATAGCCTTCACGTAATTTGTTTAAATATTTTTTGGATGTGCTTCAGTAAACAGACCAAGAGTTTGTTTTACACCATAGGCCTCATGCTAATGCTCATCCAGTATGCAAATCGAACCTGTGACTGGGCTGTCATAAAAGCCCAGAGTGTCCAACGGAAAGCTCGATGTGATAACTGTGAAGCTTTGTGGGAAATAGAAGTAGAGTCGATGCAGGGATGCCTACCTTATTATCGTTGCTTGTTTTATTTGGTGAAGAATCCCCTGGAAAAAAATGTTTGGATACAGTTTTTATGCATTATATGTATTGACTATTTCAAATCCTAATGTAAAAAATAAACTGTAATGTAAGAAAAAGGAGAGTTTTACCTTTACTTTTCCTCTTTAGCCTGACAACAAAGCAAATTGAAATGATGAGACCCCAGGAAGGACACAGACATCCAACTAGTATAGCATTAAATACAAAACAAAAATATATATACACACATACAGGGCGTAGCAAATTTATAAGACTACCCTTCTAATTTGTTAAGCACTGTGTGTAAATATATGTATATAGTCCATCCAGCATCATGAAGTGCTTTAATGCACACTCATCTCTCGACGTTTTATCATTTTGAACAGGAATGAGGAATTTTAAACTGAATTTGTCTTTTCATATCCAAATTTGAGCCGGCTCACTGGGCTTGGCTGAGAAGTCAGAAATTCATCAAGCATAACATACAACCACTGAAACCGTTTTTTTTTCCTGTTCAGGAATACAAGTAAATAACAATAATTTGACATGGATAACAATAACAATTACATTTTAGCATTAAACATATCATTTGGTTAAATAGCTCCTACATACTGGTGTGTTAACCATTACAGAAACATTAAAATAAATAAATAAAAAAATGATTTTGGTAATTACCAGTGCTGTTAGTTTAGTGCAGCTGTGGCATAAACCTGACACTGGGTGGTGGTCTGATAAACGTGTTAAACATTGTACATATATTTGAAAGATAGAAGCTGTTGATTTAACGCCTGCTTTCTCAGCATGTTATGTCTTTACTTCATAAAACTTTTTGATATCTGGAACAGTTTTTCAGCGGTGGAGGTTTTAGCCCACAGCAGTGTTTCCTTGACAGCTTAGCCGATGAGAAAGTGTGCCGCAACAGGAAACCCTTCACACAGACCTGCAACTGCCATCCAGAACCAACTGTGTGTGAGCCAGTGACTAACAGCACACAGTATGGCACTTTGCATACATCTAGGTTTTAGATCGTGCCATAATGAATACACATTTTGACTTTGTATCTGACTTGATGCTGATAAAAACACTGGCAAAAACTATTTATATCCAGTGACTGCTATTTCCTTTGCTAAAGCAAATGCAGAAGCTGATTGCCACAGGGCCAAAAATGCAACATCATTTCAGTTAGACAAATGCTGTCAGCCTTCTCATATATGTTGTGTTAACAGTTTTTAAATGGTCCTTTTACTTTTGTTTGATCGTTCTCGTATCGAATATGTTTTTGCATTTGCAACAGTTATACAGTATTAAAACACAAATACCACATGTGCTGAAAGATTTCTTTGTGGCATGTCTCTTTTTACAATGCCTGTCTGATTACTCACCCAGAAGTGCAGTTTCCCATGATGATCCCACAGAGCGCCTGGTTGCTGGAGAACAACCCTGAAGTCCGGCACTGCAGCAGACACTGATGTTACTGATCTCTCTGCCGCTGTGTCAGAGAGCACACAGGCCACAACAGCGAGGTGAGAACTGAGAGAGAGAGAGAGAGAGAGAGGGAGAGAGAGGGAGAGATCGCGGAAGCTATACAAGGGCCTATTTCTGTGCTATTTTGATTTCCTATTTTGATTTCCTGTGCATGAACACCAAACAGACATGTTTGCATGCGGTCGTCCACGTACATGTACTGACGCAAAGGCAAACCACTTGAAAACACACACAACAGATAGAACATTAAGATAAATCTGTTGGTGCTGCAACTACACTTCCATAAAGCCACATTTCATTGACTTTAACTGTGCAGCATCATGAGGACTGTAAAGCGACATTTTATTCCTCTCACTCAATCATATCATCAGCAGACTTTTCCAAACATCTGCCATCAAGTAACACTGTAACCGTCTGCACTGCTGGATTAAACAAAAGGGCAGGTTAGATGACGGTGAGCTGAACGGACCCTGTGTGTGCACTTGTTGCCGATGACTCTCGTTTGCATGATTGTGCAAATTTTCTTGAAGAGCAACATGAGGAAGTCGATGTGCAGCTGAAAGTCCAGTTTGCTTTTCAAGCCATGTCTTTGACAAGGGCAAAAAATAGACCTTTATAGATGTCAGGCTGCAACAATATGCAAAATGCACTGAAAGAGCATCTCACAATGATTGTAGTGTACTGAAGGGAAAGCTTGGATCATTCTAGCTGTTAGATAATAAATGGTTGAGATTGGATGTATTGAAAAAAACTAAAAAACAAACTAACAAGATAAACAAAACCGACAAAGAAACATTACCTTGTATCCTTTAGATAAAACCTTACATTCATATAAAGTAGCCAGTGCTACACTGTACACTAGAGGGTGCTCTTGAACAAGACTATGAGTGCTAATGAAGCGAGCCCCGGATCAAACTCTGTCTCTGTTATAGATGGTGTTGGACACCAGTTTTTAATTCATTGCGTTTTAAATGGATTATGTCTGTCAGCATTAAAAGATTTGAGAAGCTTCCCAGTGCAAAAGTACCAAACAGAGAAAATCATGCTGATGCCAGAGATGCACAGATCCTTTAAAATGTCCTCAATGTTCAAATATTTATGTCTTGTACTGATACTCTGACTCTCACACTTAGAGATTTTTGTCAGTATCAGTAAACTTTGCTCCAGAGTATGTTTCAAGTTTGATGTAGCGGGTTTGTCCAGATGCTGAAAAAAAAAAAA